CTTACCAGGCAATTCTACGCCAGCCCCAGCACCTACACGTGGTACGATGACGAGAGGGCCGCCCACAACGTCCACCAGAAAGACAGTGGCGAACACGGGGACCCGCTCATGCCGCCTCTTACGCGCTAGCCCAACATCCCGCTTTGCATGCCCTGCACAGTCAGCTCCTAGCTGGAAGGGGGCGCTGTCTTCACGTTCCTCGACGACGTTTACATCGTCGCACCGCCAGAACGCGTCCGGGTGCTTTACGACGCCCTCGCCGCCGCGCTGTGGGCCCATGCGTGTATCCGGCTGCACGAGGGCAAGACCAGGAAGGAACCCTGCCAGCGAGGAACCACCCAATATCGCTGACCTCGCAGCCGACTCCGCGCCCATTTGGGTTGGCGACTGGTCGTTGCCCCGCAACGGCAGGTGCTCAAGGCCTCGGTTCCCCATGACGCTTTCGTAGCTCGCCAGCTCGATTTGAAGCGTGAGGAGCAGGATCGTCTCTCACAGCGCATATCCCCGCTCACGACAGCTTGCAGGCTGCGTGGCTCCTGCTCCTGTTTTGTGTCGCACCTCGCGGCAAGTAGCTGCTCCGCATCCTGCCCCTTCGCCTTACAACCCCTTCGCAGCGCTGCTTGAACACGGCGATGCCCGCTGCTGGCCTTCGCGCCGCCCAGCTGCGCCAACGCGGTGGACTTGGGCTTCGCTTGGCCTTGTTTGACAGCCATGCCGCGCATTGGACGTTTTGGTGCGACACACTCCCGGTGGTCATCGCCCGCGCGCCTGCCGCCGCTACCCGCCTTTCGCGGGCTCTTAGCGGCGAAGAGCCGCTGCCATCCACGGCAGCCGCGGTTGTTGCACAGGCCCACTTGCGCCACCCTGTTGTGTCATGTGTGATGCTGCTCTCATAAGCGGGGCCCTGTGCCGGCCGTGTTTTTAACGTCGTGCCCACGCATGACGACGTCACCATCCCCAGTACCCAGTTCCGCGTGCTGCTGCTGCTGCTGCTGCTGCTGCTGCGGCGGCGGCGTTTGCGCATGCCATTGCAGCTCGCGCCGCGCAGATGCAACTCTGCCGCGGACAGCTAGACGCGCACAGTTCATCGCGCCGCATGTGCCACCTCTGGCGTGCTGTCCACAGGTGCCCTGCCTCTTGAGCTCGCCGAGGCGAGGGTCGCTCATCACGTCCGCCTCGCCGACATGAACCTCGATGTGCCCATCGCCGATGAGCGGCATATCGAGGTTGTCGCTAAGGCATGGATCACACCTCGCAATCGATGCCACAGTCGTCTCCCCTCTCACACGCCAAGGCGAGGCACACCCGCAGCCATCACCATCTGGGTCGCGCGTTGGTCCGGCATCCCGGCTGTCGATGCCCAGCGTGCCTTCGCTACCTCTCTCTTGAGCTCTAGGGGTCAGGTGGTCGTCATTTGGAGTTGGGGGCGGGAGCTTTGAATTCATTCTACTCGTAGACCCATATGTATGTTCTTGGATAATCCGTTTCAACGACGAATTGGAAAGAAGGTAGGGTGGAACTAACATGCCGCGCGGAGCTTGAGCCGGATGTTTCTGCATAATAATTATCGGGTTTTTTGAAGCTTTCAATTCATGGGCACGCACTTCAGCAGTTACATTCTGGTAAAATATATAGATGGATTCCAGAGTTCGTTTCGATCACCGTGAAACAATGGAACCACGCTTTCCTAAACTCGGCGTTTCAACGGTTTGGGTGCAGTTTCGAATAGCCCATTGGCTTTCCAAGTCTTTGTATTGTTGCAAACACCTGCCGCTTCCAAAATGATATACGGTGAGCTCAAGAAAATCGAGAAAAATTCAGCCGAAGACAGCACCGACCATGGAAAAACAAAAATCATAGGTGCGAAACGCATTTTACAAACGAATTAAAAGCAAAACGTTTTGAGAAGCGGCAGCAGGGTCGGTTGGCGATATTGAGAGAGGGGCTTCGAGGCCTGGCAGTGGGCATTGGCCGGCTTCTAAGACCCTGCTTGCGCAAGCGCAAATCCCTGCTGCCATCTTGCCGGCGTTTGGACTTGGTCGGGTTGTTGCCCTGAGTAAGCCGAGTGGGGGTACCCGAGGGTTGGTGATCGGAGACTTCTTCAGGCGCATCGTCGCGCGCACACTCGCTCAGCAATTTGGGGGCGCCGTCGAGGCAGCTTGTCCACACCAGTATGCCCTCGGCAATCGTGCTGGTTTGGATGCATTGGTGCATGCTGTGCAGGCTAGGTGCGCTCATGATCCGAACCTCACTGTCGTTTCGTTGGATGCATCCGCCGCCTACGATGGCATCAGCCGCCAGTCGATTCTTCAGGAACTCCGGTCCCAGCCTTCTGCAGCAGCGTTGCTCCCGTTTGCCAGACTGTGGGTGGGTCGTCCTTCCTCGTTTGTGTGGCATCAAGGTACCACCACCCGACATCTGCGCCAAGCCGAAGGCGTAGAGCAAGGGGATCCTTTGAGCCCTGCTCTGTTCTGTTTGGGTTTGCAGCCGGCGCTCAATGACCTTCAGCGTGAGCTCCGCGAGGACCTTGGGGAGCGTGTGTTGGCCTACCTCGATGATGTCACCATTCTCGCTCCCCCCCACCGCGTCTTGCACCTTGTCCGTCGCTTCGAGCATCACCTCGCCCGTCACACTCGCTTGCGCCTCAATGTGGATAAGACCGCCATCTGGAACGGCGCTGGCCTTACCCCTCAGGGACTGGGCGAGCTATCGCCGGCTGCCCGTGTGTGGTTCGGGGACCCTGCCCTGGAGCCTTCTTCACGCGGTATCGTGCTGCTAGGTACTCCTTTCGGGGAACCGCGGTTTGTAGCGAGGCACTTGCAAATCCTTGCTGATCGGCACGAGGCTCTCCTCGCGTCGTTACCCGGACTCGGTGACACTCAGGTTTCGTGGCTATTGCTTCTCTACACAGCTGCCCCTCGCGCCCAGTTTGCCTTGCGCACTCTTCCACCTCGCCTGACTCAGGAGTTTGCACGCACACACGATGCTCGTGTACTCACAACCTTGAGTGCGTTGTTGCTTGCCGAGGGGCCTGCCCCCTTGCCACCGGCCGCTGCCCGTGTTGCACAACTTGCCCTCCGTCATGGTGGTCTTGGCTTGCGCAGTGCTGCTTTGCACGCGCCTGCAGCGTTCTGGGCGTCCTGGGCTGACGCAGTCGCCGTCCTTCGTGTACGGGACGCCGCGCTTGCTACTTCCTTGGTGCAAGCCCTGGACGATGGCCGTGTCGTTGACTGGTCGCCTGTGCAGGACCTAGTACAAGCTTCCGACGCCCTTGCTGAGGCTGGCTTTGCGGTCCCACGGTGGGCCGACTTGCCCCAGCCTGGCCCGGCGCCCGCCGCTGACGATGCCGAGCCTGATGTCCCCTACCGCGGCTGGCAGCGCTCTGCATCCCGCGCCCTCGACGATCATGCCTCGGTCGCGCACCGCCGCGCCGTCGGGCCTGCTGAACTCGCACTCCTCGACTCACAATCCGGCCCCTTCGCCGCCAGGTTGCTCACTGTCCGACCTGTTGCTCCTGAGCTCGCCCTCGACTCTGCGCTCTTCCGGGTCCTACTCCTCCGTCGCTTGCGGCTCCCTTTGCCACTTGCACCTGGACCTGCGCGATGCCGCTGTGGGCGTCCGCAGGATGCCCTGGGTGACCACATCGCTGCCTGTCCTCGGTCTGGCGTTCTCAGGGCACGAGGTGGACCGCTCGAACGTGCAGCGGCTCGGGTCTGCCGTGAGGCCGGTGCTGCAGTCGCCACACACGTCCTAGTTCGAGACCTGAACCTGCAGGCATCCAGGCATGATGAGCGCCGCATCGAGGTGATCGCCAATGGGCTGCCGTTGTGGGGAGGCTCGCAGCTTGCCGTTGACACTACGCTCGTCTCGCCACTTACTTCTGCTGGTGCGCCCCGGCGCCGGCGCGGCAGCACTGCCGGGGCGGCCTTGGCCGAGGCGCGCAGGGCCAAAGAACGTACCTACCCTGAGTTCGCCGACGCCCGTCGGTGTCGCCTGGTTGTCCTCGGTCTTGAAGTTGGTGGTCGCTGGAGTGCCGAAGCTGCCGACTTCCTTCGGTTGCTCGCGCGGGCGCGAGCACGCAGTGCCGCCGCGTCCCAGCGCGCAGCGTGTGTCGCCGCCTTTGTCGCACGATGGTCTGGGCTTCTCTCCATCGCTGCTGCACGCTCCTTCGCTGCCAGCCTGCTGTCCCTTCCGATTTCCAACACTGCCAATCTCGATGGCGAGGCTCCTCTCTTGAGCGATGTCCTTGCCGACTCGTCGGAGGCGCCTCCTCTCCCTCCCGCATGGGGTGAGCTTCGCTTCGTTCTTAGGAGGTTGGGGGTTTGGTTGGTTCTGGACTTTTGGTTGGTTCCGGTAGCTTGCTTCACTGGGACCGCGCCGGGAGACTTGCAAAAAGGTCCGCGGGGAAAAAAAAAAAAAAACGTGTGTGCTGGCGTCGCCTCGCCTTGCCTGCGTTGTGCGAGTGCGAGCGTCCAAAGCCAGAACCCTTCCTCCTCCCCACAACATGTTAACAAACTAAGCTGATACACGCTTGACAGGTGCCACACAAAACACTCGGGCCCTAGTCAACCATGTACGTGTGATCCTGATCTCTTGCATCCCCAAACCCAAGTTTTTGAAATCAACGGTGCTCTATTTGTGTGTTTTTTGCTTTGTTTCTGAAGCGAGCAGCATAGGCCCGAGCCCCAATCAAATAATGTACTTGAAATCTCGGGGTGGGACCCTCCGAGCAAGGAACGTCAACGCAGAATGTACTCAAGGGTGTAGAAGGACCCCCCAGTTCAGGGTGCTCGTCAACACTCCAGCGCCAACCAAGATCGATCCCGATCGCAACGAGCCACGCCTGCTCTTGGGCACAGAAAGCCACATGCCAAACAGCACCAGCTGGTTAGTTGGAGTGGCATTGGCAGCAATGTGTTGCACACTTGTGCTTGGAATGGTTTTGCATGTGAGAAGACCATCCGATACCATCCGCCGCAGGTATTTCGAATAGTTAATATATGGACCACACAACCACCTTCACCACGCATTTGGCCAAAACACATTCGGCACAGCACCGGTATGCCCTGCATTCGTCAACATGCTGTGTAAAAGTGGCTTGCCTCTCCGTATCTTTGCGTAATATGATGCGGAACTTGGCAGCGACATTTCGACCAGCCATCCGCATTCGGCAAAGCTGGCGGCAACACATCCCAGGCGGGATGGCTGCGATCAGCAGGTTGGTACATGTTGTGCGTGAAAATGACTGGTTGTCAAGTGGATGTGGCCATGTGCACCAGCTGGCAGGCCGATGGGTTCAGCTCCGTCCTTTGTCCAGCTTACCTTCTGGTTGGCAGGAGCGGCCTTGTAGCAAGCACGAGCCGGCGCAGTGCCATTCATATGGTGTGCTGAGCAGGAGTATTATAGCGAAAAGCCACTCGGTCAAATGTTGTTGTTCGCAGAAGTTTGGTTTATTTTCCTATGATCATCAAGAGAAGGAAGCTGCGGTTGCTTGAGGTATGCCCGACCGTACTATTGGTCGCTTGCCCGCAACTGTTGTGTTGCTGTCTCATCGCAGGACTTAACAAAATAGTCGGTGAGCAGCTGCGTTCTTGCGCGGCAGATGTGTTTGTGCTGCACGTTGGCCAGGCATCAAGCGACTGGCACATCACAATGGCATCTGCCCGAGGTCGCGCAGGCCGCCTCACATTTTCTTTTGACAGTTGCAATGCAATGTCGTGCTTCAGCTTGGGTTCAGCGCTGGATAATTGGATACGGTGAAGCTATCTGTCTGACCTGTGGTTACGTGCTCGACGCAAAGCTGTCAGCATGCGGTTTCATGCTGCAGAGGCGGATCCAATATCTATCTCGATATATATAGGATGTCAAAGCATGGCTTTGTGCTTCGTTACTTTTGCCGCACCCCAAAGAGTGAGGTCCACAGCAACAACATCGTGTACCGAAGTAGGACCTGTGAGCCAGTTGTCGCTTCTGGTGCATTCACGGCCACACTGCGGCCACAGGATTCGTGTATGTCGCTGGGGAAAACTCGGAAGACATCAACAAAAGCAACAAAGCCTAAGAGTAGCGATTGGGTCGACACCAAGCAAAATTCAATTAAAGCAAAATCGAGAGTTCGTGATTCATTCCTTCCGGAAGCCTCCACAGGCAGACAGCGAGAAATCGACGCAAAGCTCCGAAAGTGTTGCGAAAGGGCAAGGGCGTGCTTCCGAAGACGTCACAGAGATGCCTCAAACGGTGCGCGACAGCCAGTGGAAGGCCAGCTGTGCGAAGCGCCAGCTGCAGCAACGCAGTCGCTTGCTTCTAATTCGAGCGTTAGCGGAGTGTTAGCGGATTGGCGTGTCAGGTGGTGTGGAGTGAGGAGTACGGCAGGAATTATTATTGGCCCAATCCCCAGATTCTGCTAGGTTACCACACTGTCGTGAGACAGTGTCTTGGCAGGCATGTGCCCTCTGGCCGGACCGCGTGGGAACGGCCATCTGACATGCCGACCGACGCAGGCTTCCCAAGAGTATTTTGATTTGACTGCCAAGACCCCCTTCTCGTTTGCAGACTCACAGAGACTGAAGCACGTTATGGCGGCGAGCCGGGACATCCTGCACGGGGCAGGATACTTACAGGGGATTTCGCCGAATTGCTGCAACCGCACAGTCGAAAGCGCTTCAGCATCAGGCAACAGTGGGAGAGGACAGTTTGCATTCGCCAATCGCTCGATGTCACGAACTCTCTGCACGCATGTTCCTGGATGTCAGGATATCCCGAGCGGTGACGATCTACAGGTCGTTAAGGAATCACCGGAAACAGGACGGCCTTTTGCTGGCAGATCCTGTCACTGAGTGCACATGGCAGGATCTCTTGAACTACCATCCCGATGCGAAACGCAAGATTGGTGGGGGGCTCCGGTCAATCAAGGCAAGCCGGGCAAAGCCGCATCAAGTCGCGGGATGCCAGGTGGTTCAAGAGTTCGTTGAAGTATCAACCAGCCGCACATTACGAGTGTCACTTGGGCATGTCCTTTGCAGCAACTGGAGATGAGCAGGTTGATTTCGCGCCGCCACCGAATCACAAGCATCGCTGCTTCTGGGTAGTTCGGGTAGATGGTTCGCAGGCACGGTTGCCATGCTTCCGCCGAGGCGGTTACAGCCAAGCAACTCTGCCAGGAAGACTTTTCTGCACGAAAATGTCGTGATGCAATCCGTCAGAGCCCCAGTGTTCACATAGATAGCCGAAGGAGAGGAGAAGCCACAAACGATAGCCGATAGTGCTGCGATACTGATTTTGTGTTTCACCGCATTCAGTAACCGTCATTCACCCTGGTGAGATCTTAAGCTCCCCCAACCCAGATCCTAAAAGCGGTTAGTCAGCAGCACGCAGGTCGGGAGTTGCATGCAGCTCGCCACAGGGTGCCTGCGGAATAGATGAAAGAGCGATGGATGCATTGATGAATGTGTCGGGTTTACAGTTTACATGTGATGAATGCGCCTGGCAAGTACGAGAGTTCTGTTTGCTATCTGCATGAATTGCATGTGCAGTTTTCAGTCTCGACATTTTCAGGAACAAGGCAAAGGCAGCAACAAGTTCACAGAGAGCAGTTCAAATAAAGCACTGGGCATGGCAAGTCATCAGTTTGTTCTGCAGAGCTGAATGCAAATTCAGCCTCGCAAGTATTCGTCGTAGCCAAGTTGCGCGGATGTCCGCGGGATGGGGAGGAGGCATTGCGTTTTTGAAGGGTTGTTGGAGAAAGGCTTAGTGATTGTGGGTCATGCGACTTCATAGAGTCAGCGCCAGTTCGGAACAGTGGCCATGAGATGGGATGCGGTTGGTACAGTAGACCTCTTTGGTGTGGCTTTGTAGTGCACATGTGCACTTCCAGGGGTGTGTGACTGTGCCCACGCAAACCACCAACAGCACAAGGGGTCATTAGCTGAACATAGCTCAACCATGGGCAGTTGGGCTGCAGATGTCAATCGTGAAAGCATCTATTCGGAGGCTAGTCCCTGCCCGCCACAGGTGGTCTGCCGTTATGTTCAATTTTGCAACTGAGTTGTTATCGGTTCTGCACGAAAGACTACTCCGGAGACTATGACCTGTCGTAGGCGTTACGGGAGAGCTTGCCATGCTAAGAGACCGCTGGCCTCAGGGTGGAGCTACTCGCCTGGCTGGGGGTCACGATGGTGGGACCAGGCCGGGTCTTGCAAGCTTAGTTAAGTTGGAATGTAGTTTAGTCCAGTTGATGGCGAAGATTATTTATGTTGCAGGCACTGGCACTGACAGTCTGTAGCAAGTAGGAATAGTACTACCAGCAAGAAGCCATCAGCTTGTTTCCGAGGGCTCTTGGTGGCAAGGCGGCAGCCTCAGGTTCTAAAGTTCTTGAGCAAGCTTTGGAGCAGTTAACTTCCGTCCTTGAACGACAGGACGGTGGGGTCAGGATGAGAAGGCGCCCTGGGAGAGAGCCGAAGCAAAGGAGGAGCCCGGCTCGGAAGGAGATAGGCCGAGCGAGAAGCCTGAGGGTGGCTGGGGCGGCTGGAGCAGCAACAGCTGGTATGCGCGGCCATCCTGGTCCAGCTGGTCTTGGTCTTATCCCAGCTATGGCTACTCGAACTACGGTTACTCCAGCTATTCCGGATGGGGTGACTGGAACCGACCTGATGCACTAGTCGAAGCCAAGCAAGACGACAGCCAGAGCCGACAGGAACGGTGGAGCCAAGCCTTTGCAAAGGACAGGCAGGAGTTCCAAGACGGAGACTGGTGGAAAAGTGAACGGGAAGAGCAGCCCAAGCAGGAAGAGTGGACCCAAGAACCGAAGCAGGAGGGTGAAGTAGGCCAAGAGCCCAAGTGGGTGCCGCCTTTTGAAAGCGGCCAAGAAGCAGGTGCAGCTTCGCAAGAAGCAACGCAGGCAGTGATCCACTGTCATGTTCCCACTCCACTCGATTTACAGCTGCATGTCACCCAGCGTTTGTGCAGCTGCAGGCTTCCTCCGACGTGGCTGTTCAGCCAAGTCCGGAGACTCTGAAGCCTCGAGACGAAATCGACAAGGACTTATGCCGGACGGTTGTAGATGCACGATGCTAGAAAGCATGAATGTTTCTGTAGAGAGAGAGAGAGAGAGAGAGAGAGAGAGAGAGACAGAGAGAGAGAGAGAGAGAGAGATGTTTGGTGTAGGGGGTAAAACCCCTGCACCATAACCCTGGCGAAAGAAAAAAGATTTTTGGTGAAGCTCGGCAGTACCTCAACAGCATAGCCAAACCTTTTCGAGATCATTGCGGAGTGACCATGGGCCAGCAACCATGGAAGGAGAGCAGCCGACCAGCCCACGAAAACGAGGAGTGGTATCAAAAGTGGCTCCTCCGTCAGAAGGAAAAAGAGCAAAAAGAGCAAAGCGGCTGCTAGACATTCCCAGCGCAAGCTTTTTGTTAAGTCGGAATTACATCAGTTGAAAGTGTTCAGAGTGTCTGTGCCGATAATTTGCCCATGCTGAGGCGCACACGCAGAAGCGCAGGCTGAGAGCTTTGTCACAAAAGCAAAGAAGGTGGAAGTAGAAGAGGCGTGGCTGCACCGTCTTTAGGCGCAGGTGCTACAGAGTCACACTGAGAGCTTCCCGTGCTGATCCCCGCCATAGGTCCAGGTGCCTGAGGCGGTCGCTGATTCCGACACTCACCCAGCGCCCGCTATGGATCAGGACTCCGGACCAGACGCTCATTTCCCTTCAAGAACACTCCGCACATTCTACTGTATCCACCTGTCAGCAGGAGATGTCTTTCCACAGCATGCCAGAGCCAGAGAGCGCGCCAGCGAGACACCCGCACGAGAATGAAGAGTGGTACCAAAAATGGCTACGACGCCAGAAGAATCAGCCCACTCACGTCATCGACATTGGCCTCGCCTGCATGTCTTGACGTGTGACATGTTACGAGCCCTTACGAAGCAACATGATGTTTGGACAGGTGCTCCTCAACCCCAGGCTTCGACGCAAGACGTGGCGGCGAGCAGCTCTAGCGATCCTCAGGTCTCCCTCGTGTGCAGCTAGGTGCATACATATTGCTGGTGACACAAAGCAAGTGTCATAGAATCAGCCAGGTATCGCTTGACTTGAGATGCGCGATCATGACTCCTGCGTTAGATGCGGTTGTTTGTGCGGGCATGGAGGCCTCCAGCTCTAGCAGCACGGAAGTGCCTCGGCATTGTTGCGACTGCGCATGCAGGTTCATTGTGGCTTACGGGACCGGCTGATTTTTGGGGAAGTCGAGATTAGGATGCCAATGACGGGAGCATCCAAGGAGAAGCGGGTCTGTCCAGATGACGGGAAGACGTACACCTTTGATGAGTTGAAGAAGGCGTACGCCGGACCTTTGATGCTACAAATGTCTGGCGATGGTTCGTGCTTATTGTTACGTTTCGTCTAAGCTGAATCCCCCTTTGCTGTCTGTGCAGATCGTGCCGACATCCGTAAGGAGAGTACTCTGATGAAGACTTGAAGGCATATTGGCGAGATGCCATGGCCCCGCCGGGAGCCCCCATAGAAAAACCTGCCGAGTCGAAGAAGGAGGCGACTCGAATGCACTCAGAATTGCGAAAGCGTCCATGTTTCATTGTCACCCCCGGAGTTTCCTGACCCTCGTAATGTCAGGATTACAAGCAAGAGGAGTGGTACCAGATGCTCGTCCGTACCAGTGGCTGGCAGCATCGAAACAGCATGATGCCATTGCACAGCCGCAATGATGTGTCCAAGGAAATGGCTTCGTCGACAGCAGAACAAGAATAGACAGATCATTGAAATTGGTTAACTTCTTGCATAGCTCTGCCGGGAGTGACGAAAATTGGTGCACCATTGAGTTGAAGAAGATGGGGCACCCATCCACTCGCACGCACTTCTGCTGGAGAGCCTGATGAGTTCTTATGGGATTTCTGTTACTGATTACTCAAACTTCCTGAAGGCATGCGGAGGGCCCGACAATCGGCAAAGCAAATGCAACCAACCCTTCTTACCGGGCATTATCATGGTGCGAGCTTCATGTGCCACAGAATCAAAAAACACGTATACAAGCACGTTGCACACCTTACCTGAGCTAATAGCAGCAGCTCCTGATGCATATAAGTACTCGACATAGTCTGCGCAAGCTCTCTTGTGTTGGATGCAGCCATGGACGATCTTCCGGGTAAGCGCGCTGATTGCTCGATGCTAAGACACCACGTAACAGACCATTGCCAGCGTCGCATTTTTGGAACTCTGCGGAGGCCCTGGCAGCTGCCGCAGAGGCGATACATCGGTGTGCGAGAGCTGACAAGAGGATTTTGTTGTTCTTGTTAGTCTCACTATAGTATTGTTATTGTTCATATTGTCATGATTACTAGGACCACTTGAAACCAAATTTTCTACGTGCGGTCTGCAAATGTACTCAGGTCAGGTTGGACACCGCACCTTCCTGCAGCAGCAGGTTGCAGTTCGTAGTGAGCATCTAGACGTGAATGACCTACAGGAACCCCCCCCAAAAAATTCCCCAAACCCTAAACATCCCGAAACCCTGGCCGTGAGCAGCCCAAGCCAGGCCTGCGCCACCGCTCGAGTTGTCAGCTTTGCAAAGCAGACGCGCTGGGCCGCTTGCTGTCGTAAACATTTGGCCTCAGGGGTCGTAGTTTTGAGAGCAGAAGTTTGCGATCCAGGCAAATTACCTGGTTGCCAGGGGCGGTGATCCTGGGCCGGCAGGCAATGTTTTCACAAGCACTGCAGGCTGACGGCTGGGCATCATTCTTCGTCTCTGGCCGGCCCATCAGCACCTGGGCTCGAAGAGATACCAGTGATATACAGTACCCAGATTCTTGAGGAATGACGGGTTGGTGTGGCAGTGGAAACTGTGCTGGCAGCGAGAAGGTGGTTTCGTGGGTGCACACCGATTCATGTACCTCGTCCTGCGTTGACACTCGAGCGCCTTTACAGCCAGGTCGCGCCGACACAGCATGTTCTGTAATATACGGCCCTAAATAACCACCAATGCTATTGTGGGGGGGTTCCAAATAGTAACAGTATAACATGCCCCAAAACCGTAGTCTAATTATTAAGTCCCTTACACTAGACGCTGCATCGTGGGGTCAGCCAGCACTGTAGGCTTCTTTCCTGGCAGAGGTGTCCTGGCCTCAGCTGCAGATGCATGTGTCGCGACTTCCGCAGATTTACTCCAGACTCATTTCGGGTTTCGAGGTCAACCTGGTGGCCATCAATGCTAGCACTGAGGAGGCGTTGTGGGCGGAATCAACCTGTATTTCGGCCTCGGGCCGAGTCATAAATCCCCATCGAGACCCCACAGCCTGGAACACAATGCTTGCCGTGCACTTGTCAATTTCGTGGTTGCCGTTGAGATCTAAAGACTACATTCGCAGGAAATGGGTTCCATGAGACGGAATGCATTGACTGTTCCTGAGCTCCTCTCGCGCTAGCTGGGAGTTCAGCCTTTTTATGAACTCGCTCACGTAGAGTCTTCCAGCACAGTTGGGAGATGCTTTTACTGTGCTTTCTGGGGCCACAGCGACGCGCAGGTTCTCTTTGCCAGATCCTACGATGAAAGACATCCTGGCCAACTCAAGAAGGCCCACCCCTTCTTCAGCAAAGAAATCGTAGATGCAGATCTTCTCCCTGCGTGTCGGATCTTCAGGATTTGCTTGACCTTGACCAGGACGCAGCTCTAATCTCAGCTGTACGAAATCTGTCGATTGTCAGCGGTTTGCAAGTTCGATGTTTGGCCAAGGTAGTGCTCGTCGCACTCAAGGGCAGAGCAGACCAGGACCATGACCAGCAAAACCAAAACCGAGTCTCCCCCATCTTGCAAAGAAGATCTGAGCAAGTAGGGTAAAGTAGCCATTAGTGGCGGTGAGGTCGTCATCCTTCTAGCACGGGAGGAACAATGGCAGGAGCAGTTACATCAGTGGTGGCACTGAGTTCAATAGCAGGCATGGTGGTTGTAGTGGTGGTGCTGATATGGCTGTTTGGTCGGTGGTGGACAGGAGTTAGCAGTTGGTAGTTCGTCGTTAGTCCGGTCTTGGCCGTTTAATGGTACTGGTAGTAGTAGGTACCAGTAATCAGTAGGCAGTGGTAACTATAGTATGTGTACTTGTGCGACTACTGCGTCTGGGTCATGCAGAAGGCGGAGAAGTAGCAGACATGACAATTAATTTAATTGTCCTGTCGTCGTGCTTTTTGCGACGAGAATGACAAAAGTTCCGCACAACAAGTCCTGGCCCTGTTCCTCAGTGAGGAGAACCTTCAAGCCTTGTCCTTGGTCCACGCTCGACTGTACCCAGTTCTTGCTGAGGGCGAAGGTGCATCTGGCAACCTTTCCCAGTCCTCATGGGTGCTGTGTTTGCTTATGAGTGCAGTGCATGTGTGCCTTGGCGCATACATGCAAGCCAAAAGTTCTGCTTGTAGTTACTCAGTCAGAAAACGTGTTTTGTGATCCTTTCTTAAGATACCAGAGCATCAGGAACACTTGGTTTTAAGAACTGGAGAGTCTGTTGCTGCTTGGGCCTGGACCCTGCCATGTCCCAGTCGCGGTGAAACCTCTGTGAACGGCTCAAGTTTCGTTCGGTCTTTTGTTTGGGAGAGATGATCGATCGGTTCTTAGTTCGAAAACAAAGCGCAAGCTGCGTGGATCACATGTTTCTCCATGTAAGTTGTGCGACAAAAGCATCCGCACAGAAGCAGCATACTTGATGTGCGTTTCATGTTAAACAGCAGGGCCTTCTCGGAGCCTCATGGAGCAAGATGCACACCGAGCAAGGCAGAGCGACATCCGCCGGGAGTCCGACTTCGCTCCCTCTCATTATTTGAGGCTGCTGAAGACTCACAATCCCAACTTGTCAAGATTGCCTGCAACAAGAAAGCCGAAGAGTGGTCGGAATAAAGGGCAGCCACAGCTTCAGCCCCTAGGTGAGGATCGCAAGGACCGTAGAGACACAGACAATGATCACCCTCATGTCGGTGCACTCACAAGCCGCTCGGAACGCCGCTCAGAGCAGGATGTTCCCATGCCTCCACCAAGCGCACAGAAGAGCCGCAGTTTAGGCGGAGGGGGAGGCGGTGGAGGCAGCGGCGGCCGAGAAGAGAGGTTCGACAGTCGAAGCTTAGCGGCCGTCGGCTTGACCGAACTCGCGGCAACGGAACAATGCCCTCACTGCTCTCGAAGGTTTTCTCGAGAAGCCGCAGCTCGACATGTGCCGATCTGTGCAGGCATCAAGTCCCGACCGAAAGCTCCGAAGGAACCCATGGTATACTTCACAGATGCTCTTGGACGGAGACAGGCAAGTCCTAAAGCAGAGGCTTTTTCTAACCCCAGCACACCAAGCAGTTCACGCCGGCCCCGAGCAGTCTCACCGTTCCAGTTTCCCTCAGAGATCTCGGAGACCACCGAGAGCCGAGAAACTCTGAAACAACAGTGGTCCCTCGCTCAGTTCCTCTTGCGTGACGGACTCGAAGCAGTAGCAAGTGACTCCGCCATCATGCGGACGGCACGTGGAGCTCAAGACTGCCTGGAGTTCTTGGATATCTTGGAGGAGTGTGCTGGAAAGCTCGGAATGCGCACAGGTGCGTTGTCCAGAATGCTCCTGCCTTTCAACTCGGAAACGGACTCTGGCGACCAGGCCAACAGTGCGCTCGAGGCACCTCTTGGTAGCCCCGAGCTGGAGGGCTTGCTGTCGGACCGGGAACGACAGGAGCTGGTTCAGAGAGCTGTCGCCCTTAGAAGACTTGTGCGTGTGAAGGTCGCTGACTGCGCAGATGTGCAACAGGCACGCGACTCCTTACAGCTTATAGCCAACTTCCTCAATGCCCTTCGAAAGACAGCAGAGGAAGAGAAGCGATCTTTGACCTGCATTCTTCGGGAGCTATGAACGGGCATAGCACGGGCTATCCTGGGACAGGCAGGGCAGCTGTAGCATTTAAAAGGTGTGGAAGTCATATAAGAAGACATCCATGCTTGTATGGATACAGAGACCAACCGAAGCCGCTTCTGGCATGCCCCAGATGTGAGAATCAAAAAGCGCTTGCACCATGTGGCCCTTGACGGGGTGAATTGGGGGAGGGCATGCTTGTAATTCTTCATGCTAGTTTAAATCGTGCTGCATCCACCACCTGGCTGATCGCAGGCTATGCTTTCATTGGTGGCCGCGAGACAGCACCGACGGCAGAGGACCTTGGCCAAGTGGCAGATGCCGCGGGCTCGGGGCGCCAAGGATTGAGGAGGACAATACTCCCTATCGCTAGTTGGCAGCGGTCATGAATTATCGGTAGCCCATCGCATGGTCAGAGTGCAGCAACTTATTGTGGTTTTTTTCACAGAGCCTCGCGCAAAGTTGGCTTAGTTGGCAAGCACAAGCGACATACATGAACTTGCGCAGCCAAGCAACGACAGGTTTTTGGGTTTCCTAGCCGTTCCCCCCCCCCCGCAGCCAAAGATGCCTAGATTCTAGATCAACTGCCGTGCTCTCCACAAGAGGCAGGAGTTCTCTCCATGCCCAGCAAGACAACATCTTCGGGCTGTGAATTCGGCCGCAAGGCACAACACCCAGCCCTGTATAAGCTCAACACTTGCACATGGTCCGCTGGTGAACATGCTGCCGATGGTGCGCAGCACGCGGCTTGCAGCTCCCACAGGTTGCAATCTCAGGCCAGGAAAATAGGCACAAAGGAGCATTCCATAGGCTTTTGAATCCTGTCAATCATAGATTGCATATCATAGAGGTTCGTGTTCAATTTGTAGGTTCTTACAGGTCGTGACGTGCTGAGGTCCAATCCAAGTTGTTCTGCTCATTCTGTGGCCTGCGCAGGTGCTTCTTGGTGATCTTAGCAGCTTCAGGCGAGCGAATGGCACCCACTTTTGACAAAGCATAAAGCATTGCGGGCATTCAGCTCTCGGCAAGGGTAGCTCAAGACTCCAACTGAGTGACATGTCGTAGCCCGCCCCTGTTAGCCTGCAGGCCTTGCGGCGTCCTCCGTGGAGTCCTCCTCAGAGCCTGCTTTGCCGCCGCTTTCTTTGGACAACTTTGAGGATGACGATTGTATCGAGTCTGGCGAGTCAGACGTGCTTTTGCAACTTGGCTACTGAATGGAATAGGGTTTTCTTGCGTCGCACGCTCTCCCGAGGCACTCACCTCAAAGCATAGCGACAACCCGGAAGGGTGGAGCTTGAACCTGCCTGAGTAGAACTCCATCGAAGAATCAAAACAGTATAGGCATTTCATTTTCTGGCTCTGGGAGTGGAGCTTGGAGCTGAGGCATTTAATGCATGAGCTGGGTGGTGTCCTGGAGCAGGTTCTCTCTAGCATCGCAAAAGGTGATGCGGAGGAGTGGGAACAAGTGCTGGTTGCCTCCCTGGAAATTGCTCTACTTTGCTGTTGCGCCGTTGCGTCTCTGCCGAACGGCAGGGATGTCGAGCATGCATGTCATCCACTCTTCAAGTATTTGAGTGTTGTACGCCGTGAAGTCGCTTCTCAAGCTTGTCCTGCTTGTGTCACGGAAAAGCTGCCATGGATTTCGACGAGCTCGAAGAGCTGGAGCGGAAGCGCGGGGCCAGTACTCCAGCTGCCTGACAATTCTGGCACTTGAAGGGATTACCAGAAGTACGGCGATGTATGAAAGCATTGCGAGTCTTGCGACACCATAGGGATCCGAGCTGCCAAGGCTTCTCAGGCTGCAGAGCGGATCGGGGAGCAGTTTTTGCGCGCAGCGGGGGCTAAGACCTTCCAGGACAGTGCAGATCTTCGACACTCGGTCCTTTCGTTAGCTGCCGAAGAGAGGGCTTTTTCAAGCATGTGCAGCTTAGAGGTCAGTTTCTAGATTTCCACATGTCTGCCACCCTCGATGGCAGGTGTGGCTTGAGACCCATGCGGCTGCAAGAACATATCTGCATGACTAGGTGTGCACAGCAGACGCCTGAAGCAAGCCGCGACTGCTCAGCAAAACATGAAGCCAGAGTGTGTTGCGGCCAAGCACTCCCAGAAGAGCTGGGCGAACTGTGAAGTCAGGAGTTGCAGGACAAGAAGAGGCTCGAGCCTCTCTGCAGCACGTTTTTCAGACTGGCAGAGGCACTGATGGGACCAGTTAATAACGGAACAAGCTGTTGGACCCAATGCCTTTCGGGGCAGGCACTGGTGCTTTGGCTAGATATGGCTTGCACAATCTAAGACTTGCGTCAGCGCAGCTGCCCGACTTGTCCGACCTTTCTTTTCCATTGGGAGATCTTCGCGGCTTGGAGATACTCCTGGTGAGCCGGTCCCACGTCCGCGCCCTTCCCTCGAGCATTGGCCACATGGCAGGCAGAAGACCGGACGCAAGACACATAACCAGCACGCGCAACATGTGTAGGTGCATCCCCGCATGTATAGACACAAATCGAAAAGCAATACATACATACATACATATATATATATATATATATACATATATATGTGTATATATATATACGGACATAAAGAGGTGCTGTGTATATGACTGTATATGTATACGCACATACACGTTTTTTGCCCGCTGTTTACATGTTGGTTTAATGACTATCTCTTATATCTATCTCCATGTTTATCTCTCTTTCTCTCTCTCTCTCTCTCTCTCTCTCTCTCTCTCTCTCTCTCCATACATACATACATAGATGCTTACATACATACACTGTTTACATTCGGACATACTTGCTTACATATCTCAGGGAGAGGCTACCGTAAGTAGAGAGGGCTGGAGAGCATGAGAGAAAAAACATTCTGTACCGGTAATACCCTACAATCCTTCCATGTGTGTATTAAACACTGTAACATACCATGACCCAAACAACGCCGTATAGCGACCGGAAGCAAGGAATCGATTGCGAAACAGCACTAGATAGAACATGCTAGAACGGCATCGACGAGCTAGGACCCGCTAGATTCAGGCGATCTGAGCGGCCTCCAATTCCTCGATGTCTCGGACTCTCGTCTTGAAGTCAGTGGGAGCCGTCTACATATAGCTGCCGCTTATAGGGTTCACGTGGTGCGTGAAGTAAAGGTTCTTGTATGTTCCTCATCGAGCTGATGAACTTGGATAGTTCTGTGGCATCCCGAGCTCCAATATCTGAGGCCAACTGCATCGAGATCTTGCCAAAAACGATCCTGAACTTGAAATCTTTGACGCATCTCAATATCTCCGACAACAAGTTGCCTGGAAGGTTTCAGACAGCTTTTCTGTTCATTTCCGAGGAAATTATGCAGGTATTTGAAGCCGGAGTCAAGAGCCGCGTCTTAATCGAGGCTTGGCACGTTGCCGTCTCCTTTCGGGCGCTTGACAAGTTTGGCTGTGTTCCTTGGCGATCGGAACATGCTCTCGAGAATTCGATGCAAAAGTCGTGGAGATTACTGCATGTCAAGCTGACTTCGACTGCTTCTGCAATAAAATTGCATCGGGGTTCCGACTGCTTTGAACCATTCGAAGCCCAGGTTCAATGCCAAGAAGAACTCTTTGCGCGAGGTCCCGGCTCTTTGCCAGCATTGAGTCTGTGTTGACGGTTGATGCACAGGCGGCGAGCTTCTAATGGTCCATCTCTCATGCTTGAGACGACAAGTGTCGAGGAGGACATCGACGAATTACCGTTGGAAGACTTGGACATGACGGAGAATCGACTGGAAAGCCTGCCGATGAACATTGGTCGCCTCCCGCGGCTGCGATCGCTTTGGGCTGCAGGAAACCAGGTGCCCGGACGGCCTGGTGGGGCCGCAGTAGTTGGAAATACCCCTCGTAGAGTCTACTAGTATTTAAATTACGTCCGCTATAGCATATATATATATATATATATCCCAAAAGCCTGTCGGCCGTTCGTGGCTGGCTGCATTGCCTGCAAAAGGTCGCTCAGCTGCCGCCCGACCTGGGCAAATGCCTATCTCTGCGAGGGGTGCAACTCGCACACAACATGCTGGAGGCCGTTTGCGTACCTTTGGTTAGTAGGGAATGGACGAATGGTAGTATTAGTAGTTATAATTGTACCCCATTCCTCCATTCCCTACTTTCCAAAGGTAAGTTTGTTGACTTGCTTCACAAAATAAGATGGAGGGCTTGGCTTTTTAACAGGCTCTGCCATCCGAAATCTGCACCTTGACGAACCTTCAATACCTGGATGTTGCCCACAACTGGATCATGGAGCTACCGCCCCTCGAGAACCTTACCGGATTGCAGACACTGGATGTGGGTAGCAACTGCTTGGTGTCACTGAACTTCGGGGTGATTCCCTCCTTGCGCAAGCTGCTCGCACCCGACAACCGGAGCCTTGTCCTGGGGCCTGAGGGTAAGCTGGTGCGTCGCCGTAGTAGTTTCACCATTGGAAGGCGAAGTATTAAAGCATAGGCCCAGGCTGCTGTGGGATCTTAAGGACAGCCTTGTCGAAGCTCGCCAAACCCAGGATCGAGCGACTGCCGTCACGATTTGCAGATTTCCTGATGCTGCACACATTGGATCTGCAAGGCAATCCCATCGCCAATTCCCTGCCTCTTGGGCAATAACAGTAGCCGAAGCCAGATCATAGTAGCTGGCCCTGGTGTTGGAAGAGTACTTAGTTAAGTAGCCGCGCTGTTGCCTGTCACCTTCCCCGGCCGACTTCCCAAGCCCGGATGCAAAAGGTTTAAGTAGCTGCACGTTGACCGTGAGGCAGCGTGGCAGCAAACACCCGGATTGGCTAAGCCTCTGGCTGCTGCAGTGCACAGGCACTCTGCGGAGCTTGCCGGGCCTACAGGCACAGTCTGTGCAAAAACAGATTTCGCATGCTCAGGGCTGACACGCGCACGATGACACTGCACAACACATGTGTCACACCATGCCACGCCACTTTCGCAAGAATCGCAGGAGTCCCGAAGGACAATACTATCACCCAGCCCATCTGGCAGTCCGATGATAGGTCCTTCTCTTTTTGCACTGTAAAGGGAGGGAGAGTAATGCAGTACGGAAGCAGTCCACAGGACTTCATGCCCAGCTTGCTCGAAGATGGGACGCTGGCCTTCGATGGGTGGCAGCTGCGTGGTGAGATGAGCTCCACGTTGACACGACTACGGGGCATGAAATGCTTGAATGCGGCAGACAATCGGATAACATTGTTGCCAGAAGATCTGGGAAGCATGGCTGGCATTGAATCTCTGCTCGTATCGCACAACGAGCTCCTGGGCTGGATGGTTGATAAAGGAGAGTGTCCGTGTGAGAGACGTTCCGTCTATCGGCCAGTCTCCATGAACGGCCCCACTCGTCGCAAGCCTCACCCCAGCAAGACGAACCCAACGCAAAAAAGGCAGCTAGGCCGAAGCTGATCTTCACTGCGGCCGGCCAGGGAGTCCCTCCCACACCTTGCCCAACCATGTCTCCACCATACACATTCCGAAGCCCAGAAAACAGGATTCCAAACAGTAGATCAGTAGACGGGCCGCTGGAATGGTTCCGCATCAAGGTGACCAGATTTCTTGTCATGGGTGCCAGGCCACGTGTTCCTGCAACATGAATTCAAGCGGTAGTTTATCATGTCGTCGATCGCCAAGTCTGCGTGCCGGCTTTCAACCTCAAGAGCCGAGCTTCTTCCGGCCTTGAGGTTGACAAAGCTCCCCACCACCATTGGTGGTCTTGACCGCTTGCAGCTGTGCCCTGTCCATGTCTACACGGAAGGCTTACCATTTCAAGAAGTTGTTTGGGCAGTCACGGCATCAGGATTGGAATACGGGTTTGAAGCACGACCAACCGCTGCTGCAAGGATGGACGTGTCCGCCAACCAGCTGCTCGACCTCCCCGCAGGCTAGATTTCCCAGTTTGTCTTGGGAAGCCTTGAATGCTGCGACGATGCTGCAGAAGTACTGTACAGTGTCCTTCGGCTGAGGGTTCGGTTGAAGAGACTTGATTCGGGTTCCAATCCCGCTGTCGCTTTCTGCATAGCTTGATCGGGCTTGGCTGAACGAAAGCCATCAGGCGTCACTTCTCTGAAAAGCCTGCGCAAGCTCGACGTTAGCAAGAATCGCCTCAGCGCACTACCTGCAACTGGGACTCGGGTGACGTCCTGCGTGTCAAACTGGCTGTTTCCGAAACTAGGGGAACCTAAGATAGTACCCTAATTAATAGGATCCTTATTATAAGGACCCCCAAATTAAGGTACCCCCCTTAATTTTCGGAAGCTCCAAATCTCCAGCAGAGAGCCGCAGAGAGCAACCGAGGATGGTTGGGGCCGACTTACATGCCTACAGCACGCAGACTTGTCCATGAATCGACTGATCTCGCTTCCGACAGACTTCGGTGCCTTGGTTTGCAGTTCTAGTGGGAGGTTCGTGACGGAGGGGGATGCCTTTGCGTTACAGCGTTAGGCAGTCTGGGCGAGCCGCTCAGTGTTACGATTGCTTTCGACTGCAGCCCCTCTTTCCCTTCGACCGTCGCGGGCTGTGAGGCTTTAGTGTCCCTTCGCTGGACTCTGTGTTGCCGTAGTTTCTCACGCCAGGTTTTGGAATTCTAGAACACTCTCCGTTTTCAGAGGTGTGGTAGGAATCTAACCCCAAACCTCAAGAACGGCACATGACAAGAATGACTGAGGAGATTTACCAGCTCTAAAATGGCTCAGAAACTTGGCTGCAGAAAACCAATAATTTCTAGGTACACATATGCACAAACACAAGCATCAACACACATAGTCTATGGACTACACAGGCAAGTCTAACAGGTATTTGTGGGCTCGTGCTGTTCCTGTGGGTAGCGGCGGTGACTTTATTCGTAAAGTTACCAGTTGCGATGTGCCGTTTTACCAGTAGCTCAGTCCGGTGAATACGTTTGTTGATCATGCTGCACCGTTGAAGAATATGTTGCTGTGTACTTGGCACCCGTGGTCCCCAGGTAGCCTTGCGAACCTGCGTTTGAACGCAAGGGATTTGACAAAAGAGTGGCAGGAAAGCTTAATGAAAAGCCGGGTCAAAGGAAAGTCGATGAATCCCGGAAAGGAAAACAAACGGCAAAGAAGGAGAAGCAAAAGGTGAAGAAGAGCTAACTAATTGATGGTGCCATGTGGAGACTGGTAACTGCCAGCTTTGGCTACACAGCTGCGGCTTTGAGATTTCCGAAGGTATGACTTGGGGTTCAGCGTTTTGGGTATTTTGGGGTTTACAGATGTTCAAAGTTTGGTTTTGGGGGTTCTCCTTTCGTGGAGCCATCGACTTACTTTTCTTTGAACCCGTATTTCCTAGTCTTGTGGCTTGGTAGGTTTACACGTCCTGCCGTTAGGCAGTTTTGTGTTGCCCCGACATTCGATTGAGGGTTTAAGGGGTTTAAGGCTTAGGAGGGCTTTGTTGGGGTGAAGCAAGGGGTTAGGATTAAGGGCTTAGGGTTCAGGAGGGTTTGGGACAGCTCACTCGCGCCGGGCTGTACTCGTGACAACAGGGACTCCGAGACACAAGCCAGTTGCAAAAGGAGGGCTTGGGAAAAAGGGTTTAAAGGGTGCAGAGTCTGGGTTCCAAAAAGGGTTTAAAGGGTCCAGTGGAAAAAAGGTTAGGGTTTAGCGAAAGAGGCAGGTTTTTGGACACAGTGGTCCACACAACTGGCAAACTACAGCTGTGCTCTTCACTGCTGTACTCCATGCTTAGGCTGATGTGGGCTTTGTAGCAGTGGTTGTGTAAAAGGGCCACTCAGTTTGCCGTTGACAGTGCTTTTCACCTGGCTTCCCCAAACACATGCGCCGGGGAAGAGGCTCGCCCCCTCTTCCTTTACCCTCGCGAAAGAAAGAAGAAAGAAGAAAAAACGACAGAGAGAGAAAGAGGGAGAGAGACATTGGGTGTAAGACTTTGACGGTGCTGAGGCTTGGCTGGCAATGAGATTGTTGGCTTGCCTGTGAGCTTCAAGCAGCTACGACAGCTGACCGAGCTGCGTTGCGAAGGCTCCCGTTATGTCAGCCCACACTTGCTTTAACGCGGCGACAGCCACGAGACCTGCAGCGCATCTCGACAATCTAGTGCCCATGCTTTTCATGACCGCCAAGCCCCAAAAAGTCGCCCGAATCTGGCAGCCGCCCTTCCAGATGCTGTAATGATGTCAGCCATGCATCGCGAAACTCAGCAACAAGTGTTAACTGCCTTCTGCCTGTAAGACAGGGAGAGAAGCAAGGGAGAGAGAGAGAGAGAGATCGTGAACCTGGCTCCACGGAGGGTGACCCCTAGTGACCCTAGTGCCTGCCATGCAAGCAAGCAAGCAAGCAAGCTAGCAAGCAAGCCGGAGAGATGGAGCGAAAGCGGGGAAACCACAAGACGCTGTCATCGCTGTCCGGTGTGACCCATGCTGGTAGGAACCCCGCTCGCCTCGTTGCTGCTGCAGACGGCTACTTGACTTCAGACTTGCTTTCCCAAGGAGTAATTAGTACTTGTCGTCGTTTTCTCGTGGTGGTACTAGCAGCGGCAGCAGCAACGGTGCCATTATCAGTACTAACAGTAGTAGTCGTCGTCGCTGTGGTAGTAGTCGTCCGGGTGGTGGGAGTGCTGGGAGTGGTGATAGCAGTGCTTGTGGCGGCTGTGTGAGTACATGCGCAGCAGCGGCGTAGTGCTCGCCGTGGTCGTCGGCATCCTCGAGGTCGCGGCAACAATGGTCGTTGCCACTGCTTTCTTCAGTGCTGTCTTCATGAGTCAGCAAACGTCGCTAAAGCGTCGTCTGCGTGACTTGCTGTCCAGGGAGAGATGTTCGAGCAGCGCATACTTTGGGAGCTGAATCAATGGGGTAGGCTTGCCGGTGCCCCAGAGAGTTTGACGCACGGTACATTTCCGTCGTGCCTTGTGCGAATCACCGAAAAATATCGAGGCATTGATCAAATTGCAAATGCAGCAGAGAGGCCCGTCTAATTAATCTACTACGAGTTAGATTGGTTCAAGAATCGGGCCTGTTTGGGTATTTCTCGGATTTTCGCGAGGTCCGGTCCCAGATGGCCTTGTGCAGTGGAGATGGGTGCCAGCGACGCCTCCTGATCCACCACCACAAACCAAAGCTGCCCCCACGCATGGGTATGGAGCAGGCACATCCGAGCTGACTCCCTGCGAAGAACAGAGTTTGGAGTGGCAGGTGCAGCTCCCATGCCCGAGTCGGTGCGCAAGGATGGAAGCACTTCGGCTTGCAATGCTGCTGATTAGTGACTTAGTGGTTGTCTTCTTCCTTCCGTGTCAATGCTACTTCTGAGCACTGCTGGTCGGCTTGTGACTTTCGCATAGGTCAGGATGCTTCTTTTTAACGGGAGCCCGGCTCTGACCTGAAGGTGCACGATCCGGCGGCATGGACGCTGCAGCAAAGGTGGCCACTCTGCTGCATTGCGTTTACCGGAACCGGAACTAGTGAACTTTCCCGCTGGACCATGCTTCGCCACGCTGAACACCATGGGAATACCATGGGATCAGGTTCAAGGGCTACGCTCTCGCCTGGATTCTGCCGGAGACGAGCACGAGGCGCAACGACGCTTGCGCCAGATGCGGCCCAGCTGCAAGGCGAGCTGCCGGCTGCTTATGTAGGGTTCAGATTTTTGGGGGTCTGGGACTTCCAGTGACTTCGATGATGCTGGAGCTTCGTGCGGAGTGTCTTCGCACATAGGCTACCCAAGAGGAAGTTCGATGCACGCCTCGGACTTGGCTGAGGTTTCGAGAGTGGCATCCAGACAAACGCAGCGAGGTCGCCCCACACGTCTTGTAGAGATTTGCAGAGAATGTTGGGTATCGTGCCAGCCTTAAGGTTGAAGCCGCTGAAGCCTTACCGCGGGTAGTAAGGGGTAGGACTAGGACATGACCTGTGGCAAGACGCGTCGGTCTTGATAGCCTCTGCCTGCCTCGCCAGGCAGAGCAGCAGCTCGCCACCCGTGTGTTCCAGTGGTTACAAGATGTTAAAGCGAACTATGCTCGCTGACCTTCGCAACTACCGAAGCCTCGTCGGTGGCTGTGAGCAGTCCAAGCAGCTGGTGAGAAAAATTGCTGCTTGCACCACCAGAGATATGGTGTCACGAACGTTGTCCACAGATGCCTTTTGACTTTTGATTGTCAGCATCTGCATCACATGCTTCAACTGCAGCCCCATTAGCCACAGCATCACAACCCGATCCGTCACCAACATCACGATCACCACCATCACTGCTGCCATCTACAGCTTCCGCACCACCACCGGCACCAGTACCACCGTTGGCATGACCTCGACGTTTGCCATCAGTAATATGATGAGTAGCACATCTGCTGCAGGAGAAAGCTTGGGCGGTATTCGACAAGTGGTCTGCTGAAGGCCGCGCGGATGCCATGCAGCAGTTGGCCCCGGCTGTGCTGGCAAGGCGCAAGATTTCTGCATTGCAGCTGCCGGTCCCAATGCTGTGACTTTGTAGGGTTAAGCAGGATTGATGCCGGACGAAATAAGCAATTCGCCTCTCAGGCTGTTACCAGTAGAATGATCTGCAACAGCTCCCAGCAAAACCACGCATCCGCAGAAAGAGACGCAGGTTGCACTTTGTTATCAATTTCACCAACGACATATGGGAGTTTCCGAAAATTGGGGGGGTACCTTAATTTGGGGGTCCTTATTATAAGGGTCCTACTATGTAGGGTACTATATTAGGGTCCCCTATGCTCGGAAACTCTCATACCGGGACCCAGTTGTGTTGTGTAGCTCAAGATTTGCTTCAGGCCTTACTGCGAGCCTGGCAAGCTGGCATGGCCCGGCCCCTACTACTTCGTGTAGTCGATCACTGGACATCCCACACTGTAATCGTAATATTAATATTGATATTCCTATAAGATAAGCTAATGTAATATGTACTGCGTAATATGTACTACTCGCAGACTTGCTGCAGCACAAAAGCTGACTGTTTTCAGCCAGTTGCTGCAGGCTGGCAACCACCTGCATTTTGCCTCTTGGGCTGAAGCAGTCTGCTGTAGTTCCAAGCAGCCGTTGGTTTCCAATCGAGGCTTCTGAGAGGAGCAGACGCGGAACAAGCACTGGAGCACGGGGCTTGGAAGCAACCAGAAACAGAAATTGAAATGCAGAGGAATGTGCGCTAGGCTAGGCCTCAGGGCTTCGGCAGTTACTCCAAGACTCTATGAGCATCATGGGTGAAGGCGCTGAATTCTTTCATGCTGGCTTTGCCGGCACTTTGGATTGCTTGGTTTGGTCTTTTTCGCCTGGTTTCTGATGCCAATGAGCCTCGCTCAGCTCCACAACCTTATCGTCGCTGAATTGGACAGCCTAACTACTTAATTGCAACATCGTGTGAAAAGTCCCAATCGTGATTCCCGAGCCGCAATGTGCACAAGATCGGAGTTGGCCGGGACGGCCACGGGATGCGCTCAGAGTGCAGGCTTCCGGATGCAGAGACTTTCTTGTCTCCTCGCCTGTGCAGGTGTGCCGCCTCTTTAGATGAGGACTTGCTGGGGCAGATGACGGTGCCTCGGCTTCAAGGTCTCGCGGCTAGAGTCGGGAGCCTTCAGCTCTGTTGCAGAAACCTCGGCTTGACCATGACAGTGGCTGACAGGTGCTCAGCTACGAGACGAAGCACAACACGCGCTTCCACCTGGTGCTGCGGAGCCCCTGGCCGGCCTTCCGAATGCTGGACCTGCTCGCGAGGCTCATCCCGGAGACGCTGGGCCCAGGTTGCAGCTGCGGGGTAGGGCTCGGTGTCATCTTCTCTTCGCGCTGAGGAAGGGCAGCACCCGCACCTTGGAGGCAGCTTTTGGGTACTCAGCTTTCGGCTGTCGAGCTTCATGCAGAAGCTCCAAGCTGAAGACCGCAAGCACAGCTTGCAGCAAGCCCATGACGCTGCATGCCTATGATGGCGGAGACGTTATCTTGCTGCACACTGTGGCTCGATCTAAGGCTTAGGGGCCTGTCGGAAGAACACCAAGTGGAACAGAGCCTCGGCCCTCCCGTGATGTCCCACTTTGCTTCGGTCTCAAGTGCATCAAAGCTCCAACGGCTTGAGGTGACCCAGACGTCTTCGATTGGCCGCAGTTCAAGAAGCTTCTCTCGGAAGCCGTGCTGAGCTCGGGGAGTTGAGTTTCCGAACATCGGATAATTGAAGAGGTACAACTCAACATGCTATATGGAATGGCCTCCGCAACTGTCGGCTGCATGCTGCTGCCTGCAAGGTAGATGAACTGGTGTCCGATGAGTCTATGTTCGATTTGAGGCGACCTGGCTGCCTTGCAGTGTAGCTGTGTAGCTGTCCAACCAAACACGAAGCGAAGCGCAGCAAGCACTGAGTGCCTTTGAAGGCCCTCGGACGGCCCTTTGTCCCAGCAGTACTCGGCGCGGTGGCAGAGGATCCACTCTTTGCCCGCGATGAAGGCCACTCGAAGATGCATAGAGAGCTGTCCGGGTCTAGGTCTAGGAGCAGAGTTCTTAAAGATTCCAAGAGCATGGTCTCACTTCAGCAGGAAGTAGTGTACTTCTCGCACGACGTGTTCGATGCATACCGGCAGCACCACTATAAAGCTGGCTGCCACTTGGGAGTCATCTCCTGCTACATACTTCAGATCTTCGTGGTACTGCTTCGCGACATTGAAGGTCGGCTGCACAAGCAAGTGGCTAGTGTCGCACAGCTGGTGAACATCTACGGGCCGGTGCAGCAAACTGCCAAGACCGATTGGCCCGTGTTTCGGCTTCTGCACTTTGCTAGCTTGCTGCAGCGAGCCCATCCGCATGATATTTGGATGGGGAACCAGGCCAATGAACAACAGGCGGCCGCGAGAGACGCTGCTAAGTCCTTGGTGACAGAAGTTGAGGCTGCCACTGAGACAAAGTTTGCATCGGGAGGCGAGGCTGCGTCGATAACTTTTTTGACATCAGCTTGGGGGTGGATGTCGAAGATTTTGGATTCTTGAGATGGACTTGGAATGGCAAGATTATGTTGGTCTAGTCTAGTTGGGTGTTGCCCTCTGGTGGCTTAGGTCCGCGCCATGCTTCGTGCGGGCTGTCCTTGAAACTAAGGATGCGGTGTTAAAGCGCTGGCGAGTGGTGTCCAAGACATCCCCTTTGCTGGTTCTTTGCCGGGATGATTTAGCATTAAGGAACTGCAAGACTTCGCAGAAGTTTAATGACCCGCGGCCAATGGTTCAGTGCATCGATGCTCCTCAACGTTTGGGCGTTGAGACCATGGTTGCGAAGTACATAGCCATGGCCTCCATAGTGAGGTCCGGCATGCACGCTGTATGGCTTGACTTGGATGTGTTCGTAGTGGCCGACCCCAGTCCCTTTGTGATGTCTGAACTGGCCAGACAGCCATCTTCCAGTCTTCTCTTTTCGCGGCACCTGCTGTCGGAGTCGGTGACTCCCGCAGTCGTCATAGCCCGACCGAATGCGGAAGCAGTTTCCCTGCTCATGGGGTTTGCGAGCTGGCTGCGTGAGAACCCCTACCTACTGGACCACAAAGCATGGGACCAATTCTTAACCAACAACAAGGGGGACTTTGCTGGTGTGTTTGATTACAAGGGCAGGAACACCACGGGACATGAGACCGAAGGCCCAACCCACACTTTTCTGCCAAGATTTGGCCTGGCACCGGTTAGCAGCAACTGGAGCTTCATAAACGGTGGCTTTGCAAGTGGAGATGGTTGGCGTGGCCGAGAGGAAGATGTAGTGCTCTTCCATTTCTGGGGTGCTGAGGAATCTCCCGAGAAACTCTTCCGTATTTTCTGTAACAAGAAGGCTCTTCTGTCTCCGGCCTTGGATTCCAAAGCTGCGGCGATTCTGCAGAAGTATCGGCGAGAACCTGTCTCAGCACCGCTAGTGTCGGTATTGCTGAAGAAGGAGCCCCTGTACTTGGTGGCCATCAGCTATGCGCATGGTTGTTGTCGAAAGTCGCTGCAGCGCAATAGAGAGCACGCGCTGAAAGCTGGAGTGGACGCAGCCAGATCCTACGGGAAGCAACACCTGGGCCCAGACTGGTTGGCTGCAAATGACGCAGTTTTGTCGCAGAAGAGGGGGGCTGGGTGGTGGCTTTGGAAGCCCTATGTCATCCTGAAAACCTTGAAGGACGACTTGTTCTTTTGGGACACACTGTTTAGGCTCCAGCATCCTTCCTTTGCCTGCGCAGGATCCAGTGATTCCTTGGGACAAGGGTGTGGTTTTGTGGGTTGATGCGGGAAATTACCTGTGCCATAGCTGCACTCAGAATATACCCATGTCACAATGTACGTGCACGAGCCAGGTTTCTTGCTTCCTGGACCGAGGCACGCAGATCCAAGGCCGTTTCTGGCCTCAGCCTTGGAGGCCCCGGTTTGCCTCATCCTCATCATACTAGTAATATATAGTATGTTAACATATATATATATAAGTATATATACACATGGAGTATATATGGTATATGTAGTACATATAGTATATTGCTCGAGTCAGCTTCCGGCAGAAAGTGTTTGCGCTGGAGGAGTCAGACGTGGTGGCCCTGCGCCTGAAGCAGTGCCTGGAAGTGGACTGGACAAGCAAGCTGACACTGGAGCAAATGAAGCTTGGACACAGTAGGCTTTTCGACCCCACAGAAACTGCTGCCCCGCATACGTCAGGGGCGTACCCAAATGCACGGTCTGTGTGCTATTCTCAGGAACATGTCTTCGAGGCGCGATCTTGTGATGTAATATCGAAAGGACGACCGTAGTCATAGTATCAGCATCCCTGCATCTGAAACTAAAATGGAGGTATGCTTTGATCGATCGGCCGCAGCTTGGCGCCTACTTCCTGGCATTCCGAAAAACCAAGGCACGACACGGAGATGCCCAGCAAAGACAGCAGAGTAACATGAAGTTCAGGCCGTCCTCTCCTTCGTCGAGCAGTGGCTGAAGCTCTCGGAGGTTCGGCTCGCTTTCTTGCACCCGAGGTTGTCAAAGAAGCGTAGTTCCACTACTTCTGAGGACCCTGATACTCTCATGGGCCTGGCTGTGCGCAACTTGAACTCTCACGGAGGAAGCGCCCAACTTGTTGCCAGTGGCTAGTTGCTTTTGTCGCAGATAAAGTGCTGGCAGGAACTGGAACCTTGACCAGCGATATTCTGGATGACGAGGCCGCTTCCACGGCTTTGAATGGCCATGACACTCCGCGACGACAGACATTTGCAGGTGCCAAGCTTCATGACACACCAAGCGGATCAAAGTATCTTTTCGCTGCTCTTCAAGAGATGCTTGGCCGCCACATGTCGACCTCGTCCAGTAACACCCAAGACGCTGTGCTGGCAAGGATACGGTTACAGAGCCAGTTCTCTGGAGGCAGGTCACACGCCCGAGCCCTGGATGACAAGTGTGGTGCTGCAGATACTACGTGGGCTTTGCACTGAATTCTGCAGCTCCACGCAAGGGTGGTCACATTGGATCGCTGGCGCGAGTGACATGGCCATGCACAGCATGCCGAATCAAAAAGAGCTTTGGCAAGTGCTCTGCTCGTCAGTCTGCCCCTGCTTTGCAGCAGAAGCCGTCTTTGACACTCATGAACATGAAATCCTCAGAAGTCAGGTCGAAGCGACAATCAAATGTCGAAGCAGCTTCGCCGATGCTGCTGAGTCGCTTGGGTGCACTTGCCAACTTCATCTTGCTTCACAAGTTTCAAAGACAGGCATCGCTAGGATGCCGGGAAAACACTCAAATCCCTAATTGAAGTTGCAAGGCTCTGGACATCTACCTCAGCTTTACTTACACGTAGGCCAAGCGCACACCCTTTCGTTTAGCACTGACAACGCCACCTTCATGCAAGCGATTTCGTGCTTGCACAACCTGCTGGTGGCGTGATCGGCATTGCACGCAGTGCATCGCAGAAACCTGCAGCAAAGGCATGCTGCAGACACTGCGGTTAAGCAGGGAGCCTCGCCTCAGCAGGCACGCTTTGCAGAAGGGGCGGGAGGCTATGTAGGAACTTGGAAGGATCGATGGACTTACGGAGGACTTTCATTTAGTGGTCCCCATGTTTGATGACAGGTTGGCTGGTCTGTGGCCGCGAAGGCTGCCTCTGGCATGTGGTTCTTGATGGATGTGAGTTATGAGGCATTGGTTTCTGGTTGAGTCATTGAATCTGAACTGGGGGTTTAGAGGAAGAGGATGTCTGCAAGCCTGCAAGTGCCATCCTTTCGTGCGAGGGCTTATTTAAGTTTTAGTTTGTCATCCAGGCCGACAGGCGCTGTGCCCAAATTAGAACACATCGTAGGATTTCTTAGGTCACCCATGTACCCAGATATGTTTCAGACTTTCCAGGGTGCCATCGGCGCTGCAGCAGCTGCGTGCGAAGCTTATGCTTAGGCGACGATAATGCGAAAACCGGAGGATGTACGAACTCTGGCTGGGGTGGGCAGACGGTGGTAGACACGTGGAGTCAGACGGAAACAAACAGCCATCCCTCTAACAACTGATGCTGAGGCGCGCTGTCTCGCAGTCTTCAGCTCGAAAGGAGGCTGGATCCATCCAAGTACATCAGCCTTCACCAAATCTCGGGAAGATAGGAATCGGTGGACAGTATGTACCTAATTCGGGCACATGTAAGCTACGCAGTTTCTGCATGCATGATCTCTGTACAGTTTGCAGACCGTCGGTTGGTTCGCGAGTTTTGCTAGCTTTCGCTACTCAATTCTACACGAGCTTAGAGTTTAGGTCTTAAGCGCAGCTAGATGGACCCCTTTGCCGGGCTTGCTTATGCAAAGCCGTGGTGGAAGCAAGCAAGTAGGGAAGACTGCTCCGTCCTAACTAGCTGTGAAGTTTGTGATTGCAGCAGGCAGTTGAGGCAAGCGTTTGTCTGTGTCTGTTTGTCAAAGCCCAAGCCCGAACAGCCTTGCTCCTGGTGGCAATACGAAAGTTGGTCGGCGTGCAATGACAAAGAGCATCTCTGTTATAGCTAACCCTGTGGTTGTATTATCCGTTCTCTTTATCATGGGTGAATGACGTCCTCGATTTAGCGTTCGTGCTCGAATTTCGAACTTGGGTAGTACTCTGCCTTAAGTTTGGCCTGGGCTTCCGAGTTTGCAAGCTCTTGTTCCGAAACTCGGGCAACTTGTGGAGTCTGCAATAGCACAGTTGGACCAGTCGTTGTGAAGGCCTTGCCGGCCTCGAGCGAGTTTGAGTCGAAACCATCAGTATGCGCAAATAGATCTGCTTCGGTGCCAGGTGGGAGTTCCCGAAACTTAGGGGTGCTACCTTATTTTGGGATCCTTATAATCAGGATCCTAATATTTAGGGTACGATAGCAGGGTCCCCTATTTTCCCAAACTCCCAGGTGGCTCGGCAGGTTGCAATGAAAGCTTTTCGAGCAGCACAGGCCGCTGGAGTGCCGTGCACCCGGTCGGGGGAACGAAGACGGGCCTAGGGACGGGGAGTCTGGTAAATGCGTGATCATGCGGTGTGAATTATATGTAGTTGTCCTGGTCTCAGAGGGCTCCTTCCTCTTGCATGCAAGTGTCAGAATCTTCACTAAAGCCCGAGCGGTCCTGAGATTTGCGTCAGTGGGGGAGGGGTGGACTCAGGTCCGCATATGTGGCTGCCAAAGCAGCAGCCAAGGAGGCGTCGAAGGCTGCGGCCTTCTCAGACTTACTGCACGCTTAAGATCATCCTTTTCATCATTGTGTGAGCAGCCATGTGCGAGGAGAACAGTCATCCTTTCATCACCGTCTCTAGCTGTGGAAGATCGGAGTTTCAACAGAAACCCCCGAGCTTAGGTGGCATTCGCAGCTGCACTGCAAGGTTCGTGGAGAATCGCCTGTCCAGGGAGTGAATGTAATGCAGTGATGTCTTCTGCCTTCCACTGCATCTATGACTGGCAGGTGAAATGCCAGCCAATGTGGGTCAGCCTGGCATGACTTGTTTGCAGAATCTTGCCTGTCCCAATACATACAGACATACACAGACCAAGAATTCTGATACATGCATATATGCGAGTATGCATGTATACATATGCATCTATGCATGCAAGTATGTATGCATGTATGATGTCTAGACGCACGTGTGTCTGTTTGTATCCAGACAGACTTACTTACGTGCACACATGCGGACCATGATATGATAAAACATGACCTTCATACCCGTCGTTACACACACAGAGCACGCATACGGATAGATCGATAGCTAGCTCAGCTACGCAGGAGGCAAAAAGATAGCTAGCTGGATGATGGATAGGTTGACAGATCGGTCGGTAGACGAAGACAGATAGTCACAGACACAGATAGGTAGGTATGTCTCAAGAAGAGAAATATCAGATCGGCCGGCCTCTGTGCCGATTCGAAGGTGCCTCGGCAAAGCGAGTCACGTCCTGGCTGGCTGATCTTGCGGAAACGGAACAGGCTCGCAGATAGCTAATGATAGCTACATGCACTGCTGAGCATGCCCTGAGATTTTACTGAAGGGGACGAACTGCCGGCAGTGGACCATGCGGGGGTCACTGGTCAGGTCAAGTATGCACTGGATGCAGCTCAAGAGGCTGAGACCGAGACCTTCTTTGCTTCGCGACCTGGAGAGTGAGCACAGGGTAGAACTGCGTGGCAATGCCTGCTGCAGGCTGTTGAGCAAGTGCTCCTCCTTGCCGAAGAGTCCGAGGTGCCATTGGGACAACGGCTTGCACCGTCAGGGCAAACCTTTCAATTAGCGAGCTCAGCTACCTTACTACTTAATCTAATTTGCAACCATGAAGTAATTCCTAGAAGATGCTACAATGTATTGTAACACATGTATAGAAGTATACAATGCATATATCTGCCTCCAGGAAGCTGTCATCGAGGCCAAGCGTGCAGCTGCACCGTCCTCGGTTCGGAAAGCTTCAGCTCAGACTCGGAGCCTTTCGAGCTTCGATCACAATAAACCCTAAAAGCAAACCCAAACCCCTAAACCCTAAACCGTCAAAACAAAAAACTAAACCGTCCGAGTTGCGAGAGTGTAAACCCAAGTAGCAAGCTCAGTGAACCCAGTGCCTGAAGCCATGCCTGCCTTGTGCGAGTGAGTCGTCGAAACCCTAAACACCTAAACCCCTAGCTTCGAACACTAAGTCGTAAACCCTAAACCCTAAACCCTTACTAAGGCTAATGGTGTGGTTGCCCGGCCTTCAGTTCTCCGCCGCTCCGTGCATAGGCCGCCCCATCCCCAATGACTGAGCCTAAGGACGCGTCTGCAGCTGTCGGTCTGGAGCGCATCGCCGAAGCTTTGCGAAGAAGATTCAGTACCCAGGGTTCTGCTATCGAGAAATACTTGGAAGGAAGCAATAATTCCTGCATCTAGACGATTTTCCTGAGGACTGGATCAACCCCGGGGCCCACATCGACTTCTTCAAAGGCGGCTGTCGCCTCTTCGTTGAAAGCCTTGCGCTCACAGGTTCTACTTGTGTACGTGCCCGCATGTCCCTCTTGTCGATTGTCACGGCTATCTCTCAAGAAGTTGATCTGAGCACCGCAAGCTCATGATTTAATGGATGAGCGAGGGAGCAAGCGAGCCAATTTGTGCAGGTGGCCTCCGGGCTGCAGAGGCACAAAGCATGGCAGGGTGTCAGCTCCTACGGGTTCTTCTGGGAGGAGTGCCACCAAAGATTCACGAGTTGGTGCTGTGCGTCCTTGCATCTGTGTTCTCTGCCGTTGCACCTTGAAGCGGGAAGTGTGGTGCTCCGGGTTTCGTCTGGAGAGGCTTTAGCGCAGCTGGCAAGCTTTCGATTTCGCCAGTCCGAGGCAGAGCTTTGTGTAGGGCGTGGCATGCCAGAGCGGCGAGTGCAAAGCGAGCTACAGTCACAGCCACCCAGCGGAGGGGCAAAATGTATTAAGTATAATATAGAATTATAGTTTCGTGGACCTCCCAAAGGCCAGGGAGTGTTGCTCGCTTCACAGATTGGGGTAAAGAGGGCCAGGACATGCTGCGTGCATTTTGCTGAGATGGCTTTGCTTCCCATAGAGGTGTTAATGTAGGTCGCGGTGCTTGGGCCCGCCATGGGCAGCGACTCCGATAGCGACTTGGCTGTCCAAAGGCCACCGAAGCAAGCTCAACGAAAGCCCGCTGATGGTTCTGACAGCGACTTGGCTGTGCAGCGGCGGCCGCCCAAGAAAAAGGAGAGCAAGCCGGTCGATGCAGGTTCCGACAGCGACTTGGCTGTCGAAAGACCCTCTAAGCAGAAGAAGGGCAAGACGGCTGACGCGGGCTCCGATAGCGACCTGGCTGTCGCAAGACCCTCCAAGCACAAGAGGGGCAAGACTGCTGACGCAGGCTCCGACAGCGACTTGGCCGTCGAAAGGCCCTCCAAGCAGAAGAAGGGCAAGCCGGTCGATGCAGGCTCTGACAGCGACCTGGCCGTCGAAAGGCTCTCCAAGCAGAAGAAGGGCAAGCCGGTCGATGCAGGCTCTGACAGCGACCTGGCCGTCGACAGGCCAGCCAAGCACAGGAAGAGCAAGATACCCGACATGGCCGTCCAGAAGCAAGCCAAGCACAAGAAAGGCAAGCAGGCAGATCCCGGCTCAGACAGCGACTTGGCCGTCGACAGGCCGAGCAAGCGCAAGAAGCAAGCCGAGGGAATGGGCAAGCCAGAAAAGTCAGAGAAGTCCAAGATTAAGGAGATGAAAGACTCCGATCACTCCGATATCGAGCCGGTTCAGAGACGAGGGGCTTCGGTGGCCCCGAAACCAGGTCAGCGCAGAGAGGATGATGTTCTACCCTCACGGATGGTCGATCCGAGCAGAAGTCGAGATGCAGGACCTGGTGGCTTTGGCTTCGGTCCCGATCCCGGCAAGGGGGCTCCGGATGGCCCCAAGGGGAAAGGGAAGGGAAAAGGAAAGGAGGATGGAAACGAACAGCCCAAAGAGCAACCCAATTTTGAGCCCTCTGGCCTGCTCGCGCTTGAGGATAACGCCAAGAACGGAATTCCGTTGAAGTTCACGGTGCCTGCAGAGGTCAGGCTGCCAAGGACGAAGTGGCGCCTCTACATTTTCACCAAAGCCAACGAGGCACCGAAGATCATTCCGATCCACAAGGAGGTGGGCTACCTCTTTGGCAAGGACCGGCGCGTGGCGGAAGTGCCAACTGACCATCCCACTTGCAGCAAACAGCATGCAATCCTGCACTACAGGCAAACAAAGGGTGGCTTGGTGAAGCCTTACATCATGGATCTAGAGAGTGTCAACGGGACATTCGTGAATGGAGATCGAATAGAAGCATCGCGCTACTATGAGCTGAAGGAGAAGGACGTCCTGAAGTTTGGCATGAGCACCCGAGAATTTGTGCTGTTGCACGGCGGCTCTGCAAACCATATGTCCATCGATCCTAAAGATTTGAGGTCGCCTTCCGAAGGCTAACAAAGGGTTGGCTTCAGCTGGCCTCGGACGTTTCACTCTGCGCATGTGTCGGTGATACAGGCTCTGCGTGAGAAACAGCTTGCTCCGTTTTGTCCATGTTCGTGGGCTCGCTGATTCAGTCACCCTGCGCTGTTCTCTGCCTCCGAAACCCCTACAGTGACAAGTCCTGAAATGCCTTCGCAGGGCTATGCTGCATTCGCGAGAGCTGCGGAAGCTCGCATAGCAACGGCAAGAGCAGCAGCCGAATCCGCTCTGCCTGCCTCCCTTCCAGGCACGCACTGAAAGGAGCCTTGTCCGGTTTGGGTTTTCTGACAGAATAGCGGGGTCCATGAACTTCACAAGGCGGACACCCTCCTGCGCCTGCGGACACTGTGCGCGCTGCTAGACAGGTCCCTCGGGCCAGCCAGGGTGCAGCCACGAGATGTTGAGAGATCTGTTGACAGTGCTGCATGGCCTCCCCCCCCCCTTCCCCCGCTTGTCTGTTGCACTTCTTGAGACGCTGACGACGTAGTTTCGGTGTTGAGATATCGGCTCGAGGCATGCGTTCAGTGCAATGTCTGTGGTGGGAGACAACTCGCTGCTAGAGGAACCACATGCTGAGCCTAGTGTGCAGGAGACCCCGCAGCCAGTCCCTGCAGAAGCCGCTGCACCAACGTCGACCCCAGACAAGGTGCAACCCGAGAAGGCAGCTGAGGTAGAGACAAAGGATGATGTCGAGCAGTTCTCTGGGCTGCCCATAGCCAACCGAACAGTCCCAGCGGAGAAGTGGGCCGAGGAAGTCCGGAGGCCCAATAGACGCTATGTCTCCTTCTCGCATATCCCCTTGTACTTCGGCTCTGACAGAAGCAAGCTGAGGGTGAAGGAGAACATCATCATCGGGGTTCTCTACTACAACTCTGCAAAGGATACTCAAAGGCTGGCAACGGGCGAGCAGTATCTGCGGTGGCGCCTGACTGACCTCTCACAGCAATCCCGGCAGATTGTACTGCAGCTGCGTTGGGGGGCCTACTTGCACTGGCGACAAGGGAAGCCCGCAGCCATTGCCCGGAGAGGCGCCATCTTTGCGATTCTGAACCCTGTCTTGGTTGAGATGGCGGAGAGCTACCCGGGAGGTCCCAAGGAGGCAGTCATGCGAGTTGAGAAAGGCTTGCAAGTAGAGAAGCTGGGGGACTGCCCAGCCCTGGGATCCTGCAAAAAGCAGGGCTGCAAAAACCCTTGCGATCTCCGAGAGCGTCAAAGCCATTGCCGCATGCACAAGAACATCGCATATGCCGAGAAGAGCGTTCCTCGCATCAACGGTGGCGGTGGAGTAGATGGCCGAACCACGGCGTTGTTGAAGAATCAGCAAAAGAAGTCCAGTCAGAAGGTTGCCAGAGCTTTGAAAGCGGCCCGTCTAGAGTTCAACCCAGAAGCAGAGGCCAAGGAGCTCGAAGACAAAGCACAGAATGAGAAGCTAACAAAGATGGAGCTCACCAAATCCATCTGTGAACGGCTCTTGGACAACGATGTGGATGCAAACGAAAACTATGTAAGATGCATCCGCAATGACACCAACCTCGAAGACTGCAGCTCGTCCCGGGTTCCCAAACTCGGCCGTGGCCTAAGCAGCTCGAGTACTTTGGAGGTGACGGTCGGTCCGAACAAGCGACGAATCGAGGATTGTGATGAACTTGAGGTCTTTTGAGGTCTTCTGATTCTGTCACTATGTTTCACCACTCTGACGCAAGGGGGATTGCGGAAGCAAGGGGTGCAAAAGCCTGCGATGCCGTTGCGAGTCACTATCTCGTCTCGGGTTCCTATCCTAGTCTGCCTCATCGCTTGCGCCAAGGCTGCGATTGCCCACGGCGTGCATCAAGCTGCAGCTGCAAATCTTGCAGCCGTGTTTGCTGCACGAGCCGTGACATACCAGGCAGTGTGAGCATTCAAGCAGCTTGCAGAGTCTCCCGTGCTGTTCGCTTTTGAAGGACATCCTGAACAAGAAGACACCAGCAGCCACAGGAGCTGATGTGAAGGTCCCTTTCTCCGTGATGTCTCCTTTGTCTCGTATGGAGCCAACTGTTCAATACTGCTTCAAAACACCACGATTATTCACCAGCTTCTGCGAGTTTGTTTCACTTGATGCCGGTCGGAGGCCGTGGCAGAGACTGCAGGCCAGCTCGTTGCCCTGAAGGAATGAGGATGACCCTCGTATCGATTTATGCCCTGATCTGTGCGAGGTGTCGGCCCACAGACCAAGCTCAAGCTTCAGGAGCGGAATCAAAAGGCATACTTCGTGCGCGATAGTGAGTGGATTTGGGCCGTGCTGCAGTATCCCACCACGTCATGCACTGCCGCTCCTCTGAATGTCGAGGAGGATTTGGCAGCATTTGTCGCGCAGCGTGCGGCCGATGCTGGCCTCCCACCAGCGAAGGCCCCCTGATGCTGTGTTTAATGTAAGTGCAGATAGATAGATATATATATATATATATGTATGTACGTATGTATGTATGTATATGTGTATACACGCAAACACATGCTGTCTTGCTTGTCGCGGTCAACACAAAGCTGTGCTGCGTTGGCAAAGGTTGGGGCAGAGGTCTGGAAAGCGCTCGAAGCTGTCTACCGCTTATCTTTGGGGATTTGGTCCAGTTGCTTCAGCGCAGATGAGATGATGACTGCTTCTTCATCTTGCTTCGCCCATGAATCACTCGCGTTTCAAGTTGCCAGAAGCATCGGAGACGGCAGGTTCACTTACGCGCCGAACTGGCTCAAGTGATCAAGCTAGGTGCGCAGTAGAGACCAGTAGCGGCCCGACCTTGGATGGGAAGCGCAAGTGCACCCATGGCGAAACCTACCCACTGCTTCGAGTTTCAGATCAATGGGCAGAAGTACTCCTTCGACACGGTGAAGAGCGATGTAGAGAAGCACTCTCTACCACCCTATCAGGGCTTCATGGTCATCCCAGGTCCAGTGAACGTACCCCTTCAAGAACAGGACGAGGTGTGCGACTTCACAATCTACCAAGTGGACAAACCAGATGAGAGGAAGATCTTCCCATCTTTGAGAGCCACTGAGTTGCTGCGGAAGCTGAATACACCGCACAAGGCCGGAACCAGGCCATCCGGCGAGACCTACGAGGAGTGGGCCGAATGGGAGAAGACGTCGCGAACCAGCATTCAGTTCACGGCCTTCGACATCAGCGCACGAGATGTGCCTGGCAGCAGCTTTTTCACGAGGTGATGGAGATTTAGTCGAATCCATGTCTGTCTTGCTGTGCTGAAAGTACAGCTCTCGTACCCGAAACCCGAACCCGAAACCTCTCCCAACTTGGCGCTGCAACTGTACAGCATGCTGGCGACAGTGGCAAAACATGAAATCGTAGGGCTGCCGGCAGTACCAAAGATCCTGCAGGACACCTGACGTCAGGTGCAGTCACGTTCCGAGATGGACACCCACAGACGTTGCTTGGTCTGCGTCCGAAGGTCTAGGTTGTGATCCCTTAGGGAACGTGTACATGCAGTAACCGATATGGCTGTTGCTCAACTTGTACCCTTGTTAGCGGCAGAATCCGCAGATTTGTCGACTTATCTACCCTGCACTGCAGTCCTAGCCAGGTGGGAAACAAAGAATTCTGCACCCGACTCATTCATCACACACCGGCCCGAAACCTTATGCAGCCGTCGCCCGTCATTGTCATGTCCAAGATGGGCTCCGTGTAATGGATGCGGACTCCTTCTGCCAGTGCATCGCGCTGATCTCATCACCTTCGCTCTTGCCTGAGCAAAGACGAGCTTTGGAGGCTGGTGCGTCTTGTTATGGTTTGCGGAAAGTTGGGGGATTTGGGGCGCAGGGTACTGTTTCGTCTTGGGGGGTTTGGGTCTTGGGAATTGGGAGCGCCGCATTCCGACCTGGACTCTCGAGACAGCCTCCTTGTTGTCGGTTGGCGTGTTCACTTCGGGCGGCCAAACGCGCCAGAAGCAGAATTGGTGGCACACAGCATGATCGCGCAAGAACATGTCAGCGAATGGTCCTTTGTGTCTTCTGTATGTCTGGACGCCTGGTTCAAGACACGCTGTGGCTCATGCAACGGGCCTCTTTCGAAAAGCTTGCAGGCGTCGCTGCTTCAGCTTCGGCGATCTCCAGGTGCTGTGGACGCTGCGCTCTCGGCTGTTTTGGTTCCCTCCTCTAGACGTCCTTCGCATCCAGCGAGACATGAGGCTACAAGTAGTGCTGCCGGACAGACTCGCGGCTGTTGCCGTGCATGCAAGCAGAGCACCATGCAAGACTATGGCGGCCGAGGTGTGCTCGCAAGTGCTGTTGGGAAGCGATGCCTGCGTCTCCTACCACGCTGCCAACACCTTGAAGTATGCCGTGCCCATGGCTCAGCCCAGCTCTTTGCGTAAACTGTGCGATCCGTTTTCTTAACCGTCTTAACCCTGTTCTGCCGCTGCCAATAGTAGATCCTCTAAGTCCCAATAGTAGATTCGCTTGGGCTCACGAGATCCCCCATCATGCTCTTCACCCAAGGCTCTTCAGCTGGCCCTACTTGTCGGAAGCGCTCCGCGAGAAGGTGGCAGTTAGCCTTCCACCAACTTACGGTAGAAGCCCAAAAGTCGGAAACCCAATAGCCTCAATCCTTAAGAGTAATGTGTAGCGAATCCCTGCATCAATTGTCGTTAATACATCCGGTTTCCAACTTTTTGGGGTTTACTATAACATGCTTCCAAAATGGGCAGCAGAAATATCGGAATTCTGCCATGTTATACTGCAGCGACATCTCGTTGCTAAGCGGGTGCATTTACCAGCATGCTCCGGGCAGTTGTCTTCAGCAACCTTCGGATTCGAAAGTAGATGTTCCTGACTGAACACCACCTCCTACAGGCCTTGCATGCCTGGCTCTCGGCTCTGTCACCTCCGAAGCACTTGCTGCTGGGCCAACAAAAGCCAACCATGTGTAGCGATGGTGCTATTTGTGGGGTGCTGAGAGTCTGTGCGTTCATGAGTCTAGTAACCTTATAATGGTAACCTTATTATAGTAACCGTATGATAGTAACCTTATTTTAGTAACCTTATTATGATATGAGTCATGAGTTTGAGGTCGGCTTCTGACTGGCGACCTGTCAAGAACGAAGCACTGGAAGCCATCGCATTGTACTTCAAGCCACTTGGCCTGCACGGACTTACCTTTGGTTAGTAGGGAATGGAATGGGGTAAAAGTATAACTTCTATTACTACCATTCTTCCATTCCCTACTAACCAAAGGTAAGCGGAGTGCTGCTCCTGGGCTTGGGTCTTGGATGCCCTGTAGACTCAAGACTCAGACACAAGCTGCGTGTGCGGCATGAGGAAGATCTACATCGTGTCGAACGAGCTGCCAAGCGGTCCCCACTTCTCCTTGGACGTGGCGGCTGCTTTCTTGTCGGCACTCCAGGCCCTGACTTTTCGATCTCTGACTCAACCCTTTGCAACTTCCAGCCCTAAACACTAGAACCCAAAACCCTAAACCCCCTAAACCCTGAGCCTGGATTGTCCGAGTGTGAGCGCCGAAACCCTGAGCCGCAATGTCCCGGCAGGATGGGAGGAACCTCAGTCCTGGCCTTGGTCGGAGCGAAGAAATGTCGCAGTTCGTGCGATTGGAACAGCCCCTAGAGAGCTGCTTGTAGCAATCCGGATACTAGAGTATAGCCCCGTTCAGTAACCCAGCAGTTGCAGTTGCAGTTGCAGTTGCAGTTGCAGTTGCAGTAGTAGTAGTAGTAGTAGTAGTAGTAGTAGTAGTAGTAGTAGTAGTAGTAGTAGTAGTAGTAGTAGTAGTAGGTAGTGGTAGGAGCAGCAGCAGCAGGAGGAGCAGGAGGATGAGTAGTAGTAGCAGTCATAATAGTAGTAGCAGCAGCAGTAGTAGTAGTAGTAGTAGCCGTTTGGTAGTCGTGGTAGTTATTTCCCTGATAGGTAACGCTTAGGCTAGCCATTGTGCTAACCCACCCAGTACCCCTTGTGACTCTAGTAACCCTCAGAGTAATCCGGATAGTGACCCTCGTGGTTCGCTTATTTGCAACTTGCTCCCTCTCAAGGCCTCCTGGCTGCCTCGGTGGAGGCACAGCAAAAAGCACAGCAGCTATTTGCCCGCTTTGCATTGCTTCCCTTGCTTCGGGCAGCCGCCGCAGAGGCCGAACTGTTAAATCTCCCGCCCGGTAGGCTTTAATATTATTGGTATACTATTGTAAGAGTGTATTACTGTGTTTATTTACTATTACTATTAGCATTATTACAGTGTAAGGTTAAGGGCTTAGGGGCTATTTGTGCTCCTCGGCCACCACTTGGTGTTCTCGACCACATCTAGGCCAACCAAGGTCGTTTTGAGAATCGGTAGCGAACGTTCCGGGTGGCGTTTCCCGCTCCTGTTTTTGCCGTTCGCAAGTCCCAACTGGCACTAAACACATTGGGGAATTTTTTTCCCGCAATATGTTTAGAGCCATCAGCTACGATCAAAGCTTCCCCTGAGGCGCACTGGGATTGCTTGATTGCTTGCGCGAACTGCGAGTTTTCAGAGAAGTCCACCGACTGGCAAGCGGCCTGCGCGGAGGCCTGGTCTCAGGAGTTCACACGAAGAGGGCTCCTGGTGTGTGTTGATTCGTGTGCAGGTGGCGCTGGCAATCTCCGCACGCGGAGACTGGGATTTGGCACTGCAGCTCGCGGCGCAGTGCCCGACGATGCCAGCACGAGCCTCAGAACCTTCAGCATGACTCAGCAAAGCAAGATTGAAGCGGAAGTCGCAGCACTGACTAGCCAGAGGCTATGTGGAATCTTGTCGTGGACGGTGCCTCCTCCAGGCAGTGAGCTTTGCGCATGCATCGGCAGTTGCAGCACACCTGCATCAAATCACTTCGGCTCGTGAATTCCGGTTTCTGGCGGCATCATAAGAACCAGTATTTGAGAACAGGCGAAGTTGTCGAAATAAGACATTCGTTGAACGAGTTGTCGCATTTTCCGAAGATGCGACAGAGCTACCGGCATGCTCCGTGTTTGGAGGCCTGCAAGCATATCTGCAGCCGCGAGCTGTGCTTCACGATTGCTTACGGACCCATCTTCGGGCCAGAGATCTAGCTTGGCAAGGACATCGTGTTATCGCCCTGCCTTCGGCCTTTGCGGTACCATGTTAAGACATGTTCTCCGTGGGTTCGGGCTACTTAGCTTTGGAGGTGTGACGGACAGCAGTATAAAAATGAGCTCCAAGCTGCTGCGCTGTTGCGTGCGAGCTTTGAGGATTGCGGCCCGATTGATGCAGGCCCGGGGCGGAACTGCAGGTTCGTGAAAATGGTTTGAGTCGTTGCCACTTTGGCCGGGGTGCTTTCGCGCTTTCTCCTTGGAAGGTGGACTTGAACAGCGAGGAGGGGCTGTCGAGTTATGACAGCCTGGTCCTGATTCTGCAGGTTCTCAGTCGACAGCGGGATCCGGAGCTTACGGATTATTTGCTAGAAAACTTCTTCCAGCATATACTCCTGCAAGCGAACGTGCCAGATGCATATGATGAGACTTTGGGTACATCCGCCGGTACGAGTTCCGGTCATGAACTGTTGACATTGATTGCAAGAATCGGCCGAGACTGCCATCACATTTCCAGTGGTCTTCAGCAGCTTCTGTCACGGCCGCTGGACAATGAGTTCGCCATGGACGTCCGGCACGTGTCCTTGTGCTTTGCATCCGAGCTCTTGGAGGTTAGCGACGAAGCTCTTTGCCTAGCTGCGGCAGTCAGCACTCAGACAAATGGTCTGAGTTCGCCACTACTGGTCGCTGACAGCCTGCGGTTTTTCCAAAGGGTGTGCAGGCGAGGCGTACTGTTTAGTGACAAGGCGCAAATTTTCAGGGTTGCGCTCGGTCTTCTGAATGCAGAAGTGGTGCAGGAAGGGCTGGCAGTTCTGACAGAAGTGTCAAAATCTGCCGACTCGCGAGTGCTATTTGCGGCACACTTTCAAGAAGTGTGGTCAAACCCTCAGATGCCACTAAGTTTGGTAAATGGTTTCTGTCGATGCATGCGCAACTGCGCAGATGTGGCCGAATTGGTCGAATTAGCAGGTCCGTTGCGACAGGATGTGTTGAAGCAGCTGGCTGAGTGGGATCCCAGATACGTGAATGGACACCAGCTAGCACTGACAGAACGTCGATTTGGCGCTCTGGGCGGACTGGCGCCCTTGGGAAATGAGTTTGAGCAGCCGATCATCCGCGCACTACAAACCAGGCTGTGTGGACAATATCCAGAACACCTGCTGCCATGCGCTGCACCTCTACTGGCTGCTCTTGCCAAGAGCGGCAGCGAGTGCGGATTGCGCCTGGCCGACAGCGTATGCGTGCCAATGGCTGCTCTCCCAGCCGAGAGTGAGCTGCAAGAGCACACGCTGGACTTGTGTGAAGTTCTACTAGAAGCTCCGGCAACTTGCGTGAGCGACGCTTTGGTTGTCCTTTGGACCAAATGCTGCGACTGTCACGTCCGGCGCTGCTTCGAATTGATGAGCAAGGCTCCACTGACGCAAAGGTCCTTCGAGTGTTTGTCTGTCGGGCTTGGGCATCCAGATGGACATATCCAGCAGCTGGCTGTGCGTGCTCTAACAGACAGACCCTTTCAGGGAGACGTCTCAGACATGTTGCCACGGGTCTTGCAGATTGCGGTCTATCAGGATGGACCCCTTCTTGAACGTCTGGCTGATTTGTTTCTGGTCTATACTACTGCTTCTGCACTGATGGCAGCGGCCAGTAAGCTTGTGGCGCCTTTGATGCATCCCTTTACATCTGGCTTTGTCTCCAAAAGTCTTAAGTCTGAAGGCCACACTCGGACTGTTGAGACTCAGGTGGGAATAACCGACCATATCTTGAGGGCGATGGTGCTGCAGAGCTTCGAGAAGCTAAGCACCCAGCCCCTCGGACGTGCCTACTGTTGAGCGTCTTCGGGAGAACAGTGTGAACAGGCCGGGCATTATAAGCCTAGTTGCACAAACCCCCGCTGACTCCCAGCCTGCGGCATCGAATCTAGCTGAATCTAGCTGGGCGTTGAGAGCCTGCTTGCTCTTGCCGCAAAGTTCTTGCCCGCATCTCCTCGGTGTTGGATTCTCCTGACCAAAAGGGCTCCGAAGGCCAAGCTCCAACAGAAAGGGTGGTAACAACAGCTACTATGCCAGAAGTGAGCAAGTAATCGAGGAGCCATGGCCAATAAAAAGGTGTAACGCCATTTTGACCCTGCAGAATCAGACTTCAGCCGTGGTCCTAGGCCCCAGGAGTGGGAGGGGCCTTTGGGGTAGAAGCTTTCCACACCCGTCGCTCTGAGGCACGAGGATCCCAAAGCGCACTTCCTGCGTTTCGTTGCGGAGATGAGGGCTCTGACACTGTAGCGCACCTGCGTAGGAAAAGGAGAAGCTGCATGCATGCACTTGCCTGTCTTTGGCGCTTGCATGGGGAAAGACGACGCTGGCTGAGGCGAGCGCCACACAGAAAGCAGTGCTTATGGGGGCGAGACAGGCTGCGGAGGCAGTTGCGGACAGGGCTGCCAGGCGCTTCGCAGCAAAGCAAGCCAGAATGGTTTGAGGAAGCGTGTCCACAATCGGACGTTGGATGAAAGGTCCGGCAAGCCTCCCAAAGAAGTTGCGTTGGCGGCCAGGCCAGAACCTCCGCCATTCTCATGTGACGGCCTAGCCCAACCCTGGTACTTGCCGAGGGAAGCCGCGGTAACCGCAGGGCTCACGAAGGAAAGCCTGATGGTGCAGACAGACGCCCACTCAGTGAAGCTGCTTCCTGTTCCGAACTCTCCAGTTTGTTCCCACCTTGATCGCAGTATCGAGCTTGCAGTCGTACTTAGGTCGGCTCTGCCGCAACACGAGCAGTCGCTGCCGAGATGGCTCGCAAGCAGGTTGGACGAGGGCTTAAGGTTCGGGAAGGTACGTCAGGATTGGGGATTTGGAAGTTCGGTGTTGAGGGTTTGCGGGGGCGTTTAGGAAGAAACTGTGGCTTCGTTGATCTGTGCATTCGGAGGCTGGATGGCACGAAATCGCAGCTGCAACTGCCGGCGGCTTATGGCCCTAAATCCGAAGCCTCTGTGCCCCGCAACCCTGCGCTTCCCTACAAAACCCACCCCTATATTGCAAAAGAGCCACAATGACAGCACAGAGGCTCTATATTCTATAGCATAACTCCACCAGACCCTACTGGCTTTCAGCTGTTTCCGTGACGGAGACTGCTCCGCGGCTCTCATCTCTGATCAGGTCGAGGCTGCGCAGGACTCCTCGCTCCCGGCAGCCGGGGCCCCTCAAAGAAAGCCAAGCTTCCAGCGGTCGCTGGTGTTTTGGGACCTGCGTGACTGTCTAAGGGTTAATGTTTCCCTTCTGGGGTTTAGAAGTTGAGGGCTTGGTTCTTTGTGAACTGGGTTGTTATACTCGCTGCGGGGGTCAGTGGAGCAACTCGGAGACACCTCGCCTGCTGCACAGTTTGAAAGGCAAAGATCTCTTGTGTGCAAATCCCCTCAACTTGCTCAGGAGTTCGTGCCGCGCATGGCGGCAACAGCAGCTGCGGAGCAGGCTGCGAAGGCTCCATGTAGCGCACTGTTCGAAAATATTGGCCTTGCTGAAGCCTTGTCTTGGGTTTGCCAGGTTGTAGTGGTGATACTGGTGTATAACTGGTACCATGCAAGTGCATTCGGGCCGGAGTTTGGCCGAATCCGGGGCATCCCCTCTTCCCTCCGCCCAAGGTGTTGCATGTCGCGTCCTACGATCCTGAAGCAGCATGATGTGCCCATAGGCCCATGAACCAGCCAGCCAGGAAGCAGCGAGGCAAAGCAAATCCGGACACGAGGCACACCTCGGGTTGCCAATAAGCGAGGGCTGTTCCCCTTCTTACTGCACTGTCGAGGGCCGCATCTCATGCAAGGTTGCTTTACAACCCAGGTGGTCTGATAGGTCTCTTCGGCCTGTGAGGTTGGACTCGTTGCGGCTGCAGCTACTCAAGCGTGTGGGGACGGCATCTCAGACTGTCTACTTGCGCGAGCGCGCGATCCAAATTCATGTCTGGCTCCCTTCCTGGAGGATTTGCAATTTGATGTTTTAGGTGTGACGTACTTAGAGGGCCTCGGAGGGCGTGAGCAGGAGACAGAGGCCCCGGATGACTCCACGAAGGGAGTGTGATGGCCGAGGTTCCGGCAACCTTGGCGGGCGTGGCCTTCTCAGAGCCACCTTGAGCTGGTAGAGGTGACTACAGTGTCCCGGAGCGAGCAACGTTTGCAGGACGTGGCTGGGAGAGCCATTGCATCGGCGCTCCTGCCTGCTTCCTGGTCCAAGCAAGAGTGTTTACGCTGGTTCAATTGCGACAATCGCTACTCTTCTTGTGATTCTGATGATCATGCCTAGTGTTATTACTATTGCTTCTGTGATTAATAGTATGGAGTATGGAGTTAGCATTATCATTAGTTTGATGATGAGGCAGAGCGGGTCTGGACTCGCCACCATGGAGGATGCAGGGATCCTCGGGCAGGTTAGTTCGCTGTTCTGGCACTTGACTTGGCCAGTGCCGCCGCCAGCGACTCAAGACAAAGCAGGCATAGCCGTGGCCCTTTAAAAACAAGATTCTCGGAAATAGTTCTAGCAGGAGTCGTCATTATCATCGTCATGGTAGCAACAAGAACACAAATCAACCAATGGTTCATCATCAGCATGATGATCAAACTAACTAGTTTTGCTAATCGTTAATAATTAATAATGATAACAGCAGATTAAAGATGGTAGTAGTAGCGGCAACCGCTAAATCGCAATCACCAATGTAACAATGATTAGTAGTAGTATTCTTCATGTTACATGAACACGTTCTTTAGTTCGAGCGAAATACGAAGAGTAACATTATTCACAACATGAACCCATACATGAATAATGCACAAGACTCATATTTCAAAGTAGTACTAAAAACGGCACAAAGACGGATAGTCATGACAATGAGAGCGTTTCATGTCGCTTTGTTGGGTTTGGCCAGACACGCAGTCACCACAGCAATAACAGTAACAGGAACAACGGCTTTTCGCAATGTGAAATGCGCCCATGCCGCCCGACATGAACGCGCAGCAAGACGGAGCGCTGCAACTGATGTGGTGATTTTTGTAGGGCTTGGCGATTGCGAGAGGACAATCTCCATGGTACACGCTCTCTGAAGATTTCAAGCATGGCATTGCTCCTGTAACTACTCATGGCTTTGCTTGCTTGAGTTGCTACAAATCTCGATTTGACCCATCAGGAGAGGCGACTCCACAAGCACATCCTTTTGTTTGGCGAGGCTGTCGCCCTCAACTCTTTTATTGAATTTGCTATTTAGACATATATATGATGGAATATCCTTAACTCGTTTATTGAATTTGTATGTTTATATGTATGAAGGAATATCACTTAATTCGAACATCTCTTATCATCCGTGTGCTTCTCCCTCTCTTCTGCTCAGATGTGGAGCGGCCTCTGCCAAGACGGGTCCTGGACCGGCTCCTGAGGACACGGAAACGAGAAACAACTGTAACAATAAATACCACTAGTAACAACAGTGATGTAGTAAATTTTAAGCATAATGGCAATAAGAGTATTAGCAAGAATACGAGTAATAATGGCGATAGTAGATATGATTACGGTTTGGGGTCTAGGGATCTTGCGTTCCCTAGCTGACGTGGGAAAGGAACGAAGCTGGCGCTGGCCGCCTGCAGCGTCACGAGTCATGCTGGAAATGCTTCATGCCACTTGCTGGCATGTGGGAGTTTCCGAGAATTAGGGGTACCTTATTTTCGGGTCCTTATAATAAGGATCCTTCTATTTAGGGTACTATAAAAAGGGTCCCCTATCTTCAGAAACTCCCATGTCTGAGCTTTAAAGCCTGCTCCTTTTGGGGGATGTGGGTTTTTTGCATCTTCGTGTCCGAGGCGATGCTTTTGCCTGACCCCGAGCCGGGAAGTCCACTTCGAAGCAGCGCAGGCGAGAGCTGTTCTATCTATCTATCTATATGTATATCTATATCTATATCTATATCTATATCTATATATATATATATATATATATATATATATATATATATAGGGTTTGGGGTTTAGGGCTTCGGTTCCTACAATCATCTTGACCGAGGCCGACATGCAGCTAGACTGAGTCCAGTGGCAAAAAGGGTTTCGGTTCCTGGCATATGCATAGTCCAGGTGTAAAAGGGTTCAAACACAATGTTTCCTCCCACCGCATGGCATCCATTGTGCAAAGGCTCAGCATGCGGCGGTCGTGCAGTCCCTGGCGCTAATAACAGCTGAGCAGCCTGGAAAACGTTGGCGTCTTTTTCAGGAAGGGGGCTACTACGGAATTGCTGTACTTGCACCAAAGCAAGACAAGTTTTTCCAAACGAGCTTGCACGAGCAGTTTCAACCGGAACTTCTGCCTCCAACACACACGGGGGTTTCCCAAAATAGGGGGCCCTAATCTAGTACTAGTAGGAACCTTATTATAAGATCCCCAAAATTAGGTACCCCTCATTTTCAGAAACTCCCCCTTTCATTTTCGGGAACTCCCCCACAGGGCGAGAGAGAATGCAAAAACTATGGATCCGGAGCCACAGCGCTCTGCATTGGGTTACCAACCGCGTCTTCACATAGGTTTCAAGGACCTCACCGGGCGTTATGCTCGGGGATGCTTGGCACCAGCAATAGCAGAAGCACTCTACCGACAACATAAAAACAATCATGCACTGAGTAGGAGCAGCAGTAGTACACACTGTCCAGTTCTACCAGGTAGCATCCCTTGCTATCTTGTAGAACTGCTCGGAAGATGTGAGGTACTCACATGGCTCTCCCAGCTTCGCGACCTGGACAGCCGGCTTAAAAGCCTTGTTGACACAGGCGCAGGAGGAGGAGCACACACCTTACGCTTAGAGTAAGGCTCTAAGGTGAGACTGCTCCCTAGGGCATGGCTAGGAAAGCGGTCGCAGGAAGATGGCGAGTTCGACCGCTTCGCCCCGTCTCCCTGCGAATGGCTTGCAGCCTGGAGGGGTGGGCAGCATCAAAGCGCCTCAGACCAGAAGTGTGTGACCTGAGGCCAGCCTTGAACAATGTTTTGAAGCTGGGAGTCACGCCGCCCGAGCCTTTGTCTGGAGAACTGGCCCGTTTACACACAAATCTAGAGAAAGTCCACCACAAGAAACGTGGATTCTCTTTCACGTGCAGCGATCCAGGCCTGAAGGGAAGAGCGAAGTGAGCGATGGTCTCCTCTTGGATGTGGCACGTTTATCTGCTCATGCGGCAACTCTTCTCAACAACATCTGCGGCCTCGTTCCCAGCTTCTCGTTGTTCTTGTACCTTTTTCATCTATGCAAGGCTCGATTTGCATTGGCCGCCTACTCGAACAGGCTCCGGTTGCCCTCGGTCCAGTTATGTCAAGCATCGCCTGTGCGCCTGATCAAGAGCCTGCCAGGCTCTACGGGCTAGTTTCTCCTGGGGCAGCTTGTTTGACACTGGCCTGCTGTATCTCTGAACGTCGAGCTTTTGTTCGCATGAGTGGGGTCAGCGACGACGACGTGCTGCTTGCCGAAACGGTGGCTCGTCCGTTTAAACCTGTCTGGTGGATCTGTCATGACCGCGCGACGTCTGCAATCATGGTCGCCATTCGCGGCACTTTCAGCATGTCAGATGTGCTTTCTGACGTGCTGGCCACACAAGTACTGTACAAGGAGCATGTGATACACGAGGGCGTGCTGGCAAGCGCACGCTGGGTTTACAGCAAAGTGGCCCCAGTTCTGCGCAGGGAGATGGCCTCGGAAGGAGGGAAGATTCTCATCACAGGTCACAGCTTGGGCGGAGCGGTTGCTGCATTGCTGGCTTGGTTGCTTCGTGAGGATGCCGGCTTGCCAGCACGGGCCATTGTCTTCGGCGTGCCACAGGTCACGGACGAAGCGCTGGCCCGAAAGATGGCGAAGTTTGTCACCGGCATCATCCATGCAAGGGACATTATCCCAATGCTGTCGCAAAAGTCAGTGGAAGATCTTCGGCACCACGTGGCAGAGGCCGCGCAGACGCCCGAAGAAAAATTGCTGGAGCTGCAAGCGGTGCTCGCAAACTTCCATCTCCCGACCGAGCCAGCGTTGTTGCAAGATGCTCTCTCCCAGAGGCAGTTCCAAGCGTCTTGGTCGGCACAGGGCTGCATTGGATCTAGCTGGACTTGGCAAGATGCAAACGCCAACACGTCTAAGCTGAAGCTGAGGCAAAACTCCCACTGATCCAACGGACGACGGACCCAAATTCCAGACGCTAAGGCTCCAACCCCTCGACGTCATACTAGCACTTCCACTTCTACGACGGTTTATGAAGATGCTCCGAGCGACGTCGTGGAGCTGCCAGCGATTCCGATGCACAATCCAGGAGATGTCACGGTGTTTGCTTCTGTTCTCTTGACAGTTCTTTGGTGATGATGTCGTTGCAGGATGGCAGCTGCACTTAAGAAGACGTGCGCTTGGGGCACGAAGCCGCGAGTTCAAGCCAATCCTCTGGAGAAGTTCGACGCTGGGATGTCGAAGCAGATACTGATCTCACTCCAGTGGTAGTGAGCGTAAGGGGATCCTCATGCTGTGCTGCATCACGACTGTACCAGCGGAGCTGCTGAAGGATGGAGGACTTCCTGATCACCGTCTCTACGCCCACAACAGCTTCTATGCAACGAGTTCGCCCGGTCACTGGTGACATTCCCGCAAGTAGCGACTGCCAGAGTCGGAACAGTAAGGTCCGGCTTGGACTATGTGGCAGGATCATTGGCCGCAGGCCGTTGATCTTGCAACTGCAGTGGTTTGCAGACCTCCCCTTGCCAAGCCTCCGGTTTCCTCAACCTTAGCCCTCGAGATCTCCCAAGCACTTGGAAGAGAAGAGGGTTCCGGGTCAGTCAGATCGTGAAGATGGGTGGAGTGTAGGAAGCCCTACTCAAATTCCCAAACAGTAGAGATGCACCTGACAAGTATGCCATTTGCCGTGGTTTGCTTTGGCAGCCATTTCAGGGAGGCCTGAAGATTCCTACATGACAGGGCCTTGGCCTGAACGTTTCATAGCATTCCCCCGAAGCTGGAGGGCCCGTACCACTTAAAGCCACACTGCTACACCACAACTCATGTCTGAGTATAGCATGCTGTGCTGAACATACAAAATATACAAAGCTCTAGTAGCAAAATCCTTGAGGTAAAGTTGTGCAAGAGTGCTCTTGCTTGTCCGCCCGTCATGGAGCTTCGCCATCTCTTTCTGTTGGCCTTTTTGTTGAGAGCTTCCGCTTGGTGCCGGCCGAGGGCAGGCAGCTGCGAGGGCAACCTGCAGGAGCGGACAGTGACCGAGCTCCTGGAGCTGGGGCATGGCGCTACTAGGTGGCAGTTTGGGAAACTTGTTCATTTCCCTTTTGGTTCCTATAGAGGTACCTATTCATAAATACTTTTCAGAGCCCCAAAACTACAACCCAGGCTATGAATGGCGCATGGGCATTTCCGCAGGCAGTGGATTGGGATGACGATGGCCACAGCGAGCTAATCGTTCTCCAGTGGGATGGAGGCGATTCTTGGGATGACCCACCGGGGGAGGGAAGGCACTGCTGGGTCAGGTATTTCAGGCAAGATGCATGGCAGCTAAACGAGCAACTCGGGGAAGAGAATCCTTTCAGAGATCTTGGGTTTCAGATGAATTCCACGAGCGTAGAGCCGGCCTTCTCAGTTCTTGACTGGGATGGAGATGGCGATCTGGACTGGATACTCCGGGACGACCAGGGTTTGTGGTTTCTGGAGTTCTCCGCTGGCACCATTCGCAGCAAGTCTCCAATCTGGCTCTTTGACAATCACGGGCAGCCGATACCAGCAAATTTGTTGGCAGCACAAGACTGGGCGCTGCAGCCTTTCGCTGCGGTGGATTGGGATCAGGATGGCGACCTGGATCTGTTCATCAGCGATCCGCAACAATCCTGGCCACTTGAGATCCTTTACTTTGAGCGCGTCAATGAATCGTCCTTGGTACAATCCAGAAGTCCCCTGGCTGGTTTCGATGCTTCTTCCGTGAAGAGCATGGTTGTTGCAGATTTCGACGGTGATGGAGAGATGGACGTTCTGTTCAGCAACTACGAAAGCTATTTGTGCGAGCCTCCTATGCTCGGCTTCCTGCATGGTACCGAGGATGGGAACTTTGAGGACTGGAGTCAGAATGGTCGTGCAAACCCCTTTTGGGGGGCCGAAGGAGCCGGATATGCAAACTGCACTGACTTCAGTGGTGCTGCCTTGGCAGTGGCGGATGCGAACCAGAACGGATTGTTGGAGCTGCTGGTTGCCACCAGTTCACGCATTCTCCTGTTCTCATGGCACTTTACCAAGCAGCTGGTGGAAAGAGCAAACGGGTACACGCTCTTCCACATCAACAGACGGATGGCGCATCCTGCTGTTGCAGATTGGGATGGAGATGGGATCGCGGACTTGATCCTAGGGTCGAAGTACGGGCGTGTTGAGGTTTTCCTACGTCAAGAGGACGGCAGCTTGGGTGAATGGGAGCCTGTTCTTGAGCTGAAGGATGTTTCGACTGCCCGGCCCGTTGTCCTTGATTTCAACAACGACAGTCTCAATGATCTCATGGTTCCCAGTTCTACATGGGACGGAAGCGAGCTCATCTATTTCGAACGCCAGCTGAACGGAAGCCTGGAAGAGAAGTTCCGGCTGAAACCTAGTTGGGCACTTTGCTTTGCAGCAGCTGTTGCAGACTGGAGCCAGGATGGACGTTTGGATGTTCTTCTGCCGTGTAGCAACGATACTCAGTCATCACACTTGGTGTGGCAGTTCTTTCAGCAGCTTCCTAATGGCTCCTTCCAGCCTCGCCCAGCGCCCCTAGCGGATTTGGACGATGTCTCTACTGGCTTGTCTTACGTGTATGTTCAGGCATTCGACGTGAATTCGGACGGGACAGCGGATCTGCTGATGAGGGACGGCCCGGCATGGCGTTTGTTTCTATCACAGCCAGATGGGCAGTTAACAGAAGCGAATGCGAGTGAATCTTTGAATCTTGTCAGAGAGTTGCCAGAGCTGGGTGTTGGAGAGACCTTTGTCCTAGCAGATTGGGACTCGGATGGCGACATGGACCTGTTGACGGCTGCCGGGCACAGGGATGGCGGCGATGTTCGCCACTTTGACAACGGCTACTGCCGACTAGATCAAGCTTGCACCGGCAGGGGGGCCTGTGGCCACTCCTCGGGCAAGTGCACCTGCTTTGTAGGGCACTCCCTGTCGGATTGCTCCGAATGCAGCAAAGGATACTTTGATCCATTGCAGGTCAATGTTACGTACCCAGCAAAAGAGCTGATCCGAAAGTGTGTGGCCTGCCCGGGCACGCCTGGTGCGATGCCGTGCTCTGGCCGTGGCTTCTGCAATGACGATGCATCGACCAGGGATAGACATAGCAAAAATGGAACCCGTTCGACCGTCCATGGAGACGGCACTTGCAATTGCTCAGCTCCCTTTACCGGAGAGAGGTGTGAGCGGGGCCTGTGTCTTCCAGGCCACAAGTATGTGCAGGATTCCATCCTGCGGTGTGAGCCCTGCGAGGCAGGGTCTTTTGTTGACAAGCATAGTCTGCAGCGATACTGCAAAAGCTGTCCGGGAAACAGCTATGCGAGTGCTCCGGGAAGCGCGCGATGCCTCCCTTGTCAAGCATTCTGGTGGAGGATGTCGGTGACTGCGGATAAGACCCGCTGCCATCTGTCCTTCATGAACGTGTGCGCCTTTACCATCGTCCTCTTGCTGTCCTTCATGTTCTTTGCCATACTCTCTCACCTGGCATGTTGTTCCATGCCCATTGAGGATGTGCAGCTGAAGGATGGCGTCCTCTGCCTTTCCGTCCGTGGACGTCATTGGCTACTACGGCCTGCAAGAGTTGCCTTCAAAGACACAGGACATCCTCTCCTCGATGACAATCAGAACTACCTGGTGGAGGTACAGAGCGACCGCGAACTCATTGTGTGTGACTCACAAGGTGTTGCGCTGTCGCTCTCGGCGGATGCGTCTCAAGGCACATGCCACATCCACCGCTTAGACAACGTCTGTCGTAGGGGAGTCTTTGGAGTTCCTTTCCTCCTATGCCTCGGGCTGCTTGCCATCCTCTTCGCAACCACCTTCTTCCTCCTGGGCGTCGTAGCCTTTGATGCAGTCATGGCCCTGGCAGGTCTCGCCCTCGCCGCCTTGGTTCACAGGTGGACTCATCCGACCGCTTGTGATCTATGTCGAGATCGATGCCTCTTTGCGGCACGGCTTCGCATCAACCAACCTCGGGCTTGTCCCAAGGGTCCAGAAAGAGGACTTGGATTGGGGAAGATTCAAGAGCTTTACGATTTCTTCAGTGCCTACATCGGTCTCCACAGGAACATGTACTATCTCTGCAGCAACATCGTGAAGCCCCTGACTGCCAGAAACCAGCTGTCCTATGCAGAGTTGGCAGGACCCTGCACTGTGTCGTTCTTCGTCTCTCACTACTGGGGCATGCCATTTCAGCACTTTGTGGAGTGCTTGAAGGGGCATGCCGCGGATCGGACAACCAGCTACTGGATCTGCACCTTCGCGAACAACCAGTGGAGGGTGGCCGAAGAGTTGGGTGAGGACGTGCTTTGCTCACCCTTCTACCTGGCTTTGCGAAGCACTTCGTGTCAGGGCACTTTGGTTGTGCTCGACGAGGAGGTGCTGCCCTTGACCAGGTCTTGGTGTCTATTTGAGCTCTTCCAGACCGAGATGCTCAGCCGAGAGGGCGGCGGTTTCCAGGGACTTCTACTTGGGACCTCCACAGGTGTCATGAACTACGGCCAGAGCAGCATCGACCTCGCCCTGAAGATCAGCAAGAAGCTTTCCACATTGCGTCTCCAGGACGCCCAGGCCAGCTGCCCCCACGACAAGCGCATCATCGACGAAGCAGTGGCGAACCACCCGGGTGGCTTCGAAGCTGTTAATTCCTTCCTCATTGGGTCTGTGCAGGCGGCCTTGTATCAGACGGAAGCACGCTTCCGAGAGGATTTTGCTCGGCTGCATCAGGACCTTGGGCACACAGCGGCACTGGCTCCAGAAGACTATGCAGGCAGAGGGACTCAACCGAACCCGACGCTGCTGACCAGCCGCGGAATACAGGATCAGGTAGTAGAGGAGAATGTCAAGGTGTAGGCAGTTTATTCTACTAGAAAGTGGTCGTTTGTAATAAACAACAAATACCCAAGCGGATCTATGATGAGAACGAAGCCTACACCCAAATATTCTGATAGAGTATGTTTGCTTTGGATGGCAAGAGCTACGCTGTTTGACTTCGCATCTTGCACAGTGCGGACAGTTGAAGGTCAAGGTGGTCAAGGTGCCGCCTTGCACAGAGATCGCGCAGTATGCTGCGAGGTCTGCATTCTTAGACGGGCACAGCGTCTGCCCGATTAGCTAGGTGCTACGGTCTTTCTTGCACAGGGCAAGAAGTCAATTCAGAACGAATTACGTTCTGGGTGTTTGGATTGTCCGCCAGCGTGTTGTCGGTGAGCGGATCGAAGATGACATCTTAGCAGCTGTACAGGAGGATGTCTGACGAAAGCGTGCGCAATGCGCATGCCGGTGCATGGATGCATGGTGTAGATACCGCTGAATCAGCAGTAATGAAAGATCCTTTGCTTCACTGTTTGTGCACATGCTCTGGTTCGCGATGGTGAGTGCCAGTGTTGGTCGAATGTAACTGGTAACTGGGGCAGCATAACTCTTCCCTTCGCATCTTGCTGGACTGCACCGGTAATGCTTTTGTGTGGTTTTGGGCCAGCTGACGGGAGCACTGCTGCGAAGGTCTACCACTTCAACAAAAGACCACCTGCCATTTAATAAGTCATGACTTGGCTCGAAGTCAACTCCAAGTCTACGGGTAGGGTGATGACCCCACAGCATCCACCAAGTGGTTAGAGTCAAGACAAGAGGATCCCTGGCATAGGGACACCAACAAAGCCTTTACGTACGTTGTAGGTTGATCCTAGTCAGGCGGGAGGCCAAACAAAAAACCCATAGTGATGACAAGAGGTTGGGGAGCCTGTTGAGGAGTTCTTGGAATGCCGTTTTTTTGCTACAGCCTTGGGCGACGGAGACAAGTAAACAAAGCACGTCGCCGGCAGGCCTACCTCTATGCATGCGAGGCCATCTATGCAAGTGCGAGCTCATTTGTTTGTTTTTCTTCGCGAGCTTTCAGTGCCATGCGAATCGTTCAGTGTGAAGACAAACCTGGGACAGTCCCGAAGCCCAGCAGCCAAGAAAAGTTTCCAACGGGAGTACGCAGGCTCTGGCTGACCGCCTTGCTGCCTCTTCGGCTGCATCCCGAGTGCAGGATTTTGGGCGTGTCGTGGCTTCAAGGGAGCTTGGCTCCCGAATCCCGACTGAGGCGGGCGAGCCTTCAATCAGCAACCTGGGGTTACCGCAAGCTGCACGGGTGCAGGCTGGCAATGCTACTCGTGACTTTGGTGGTGCTTCGTCCCTGTGCCTGTCCTGCAGAGGCCGTCGGAGCACGCGCCGGCGATTTGCGACAGGTGCCAGATCAGTCTCTTTTCAGTGATGTCTTCTGATTCGCTCTGCACAGGCTCTCTGCCGAATCGAGAGCTACTTTGAGCCTTCAGCATCGCTGTGACTCGAAAAAGAGAAGCACTGACTGCTACACGGAGTCTCCTTTCAAGTTGAGTAGATGCGTTGCGCCTGCCTGCCCCTCCGCCGCCATGCCAGGTTTAAAAACAAGGCTGCATACAAAAAGCAACACGATCTGCGGCGGCATCGGTTTAGGGATCCGATTTGGGATTCATGGTTCGAAGTTTCGAGTGTAGGTTTGATCACAAGCGAAAGGTCATGGCAAAGCTCCATGAGCCTCCCGCGGAATGCAAGGAGTCACTCGCCGCTCTTCGAGGCTGCAGGGCTGCATCAGCTTCCACAGACCGAGCAAAGCGAGCTGGACAGAAAGATACAGATAGAAAAATGGATATACAGATATACACAGCCATACATACATACAAACATGTGTATGCGCGTAAGCCTCTGTGTAGTAAGGATGTGTGTATATGTGTATATATATATATATTAGATAATAGATAGACAGATAGATGGATAGACAGACGGATAGACATACGTTTTTTTCATTGCTGTATTTGCTGATTGTTTGCTTATATATGTGCTGATTGTTTGTTGGCTCACTTATGCATTTGGGTGTGTACTTGTCGTTGTGCTTCTTTAGGTACATATGCTTTGTCTACTTCAGTCAGTCCGCTCGAAGATCGGGCCGATGCTCATTATTACCGGTATCCACACCTACAGCACTAGCACTCCTAATCGGGAGGCAACACCCTTAGCCCGAGCACATGGATAACGACAGGTGCATGGATAGATTAGCAAGGCAGATGTAGCAAAGTTCATCTCGACTCTAAGCTTTGCTCATGCTGGAGAGGCCTCGTGGGCCCTCATGCTTCTCAAGAGCAGCTGGAAAACCAATTGCAGCGCTTCTCCAATGACCCTAGAAAGGCTGCAAACGGCCGTCTGGCTGCAGCACGGGTTTGGGAATAGAGGGCTTGGAGTTTTGAAGTCGACTATCTAGACGGTTGCAAAATACGGTTGAGTCATATTGGCTTTGCCTTTGGGCATGAATTCAGAAGAGGTTACTTTCGCTCAGCGTGTTCGGTCGAGCTCCCGTTTGACTTCGAGCCCCGACCGCTGCGGCTGAGCTGCATTCACGGCCAGCATATCCTCTGCATTGTTGTTATTCTTGAGATTATTGCAGTCATTATGTTAGTATGAATATCTGTATTGTTAGTATTGCTTTTTTATTGCTTTTGTTTTTCTCTGTATTTGTGATGCTGTCTGTTCCATGTCAATGTCAGGCCCAGACCTGCATCCTCGCGCACCGTCGCCGCGTCAAGGCACAAAGCCGCCGGACCGCCCATGCAGGGAACTGCTTGGCATGAGCTGGATTCCCCATTGTTTCCGGCTTCTATGCTGCACCAAGACCTCAGGAAGTGTACCGTGCCGGTTCATGAATGGAGTGCAGCCAAGGCGGCAACGTTCCTTGAGGTGGTCGACTGTAGGGCACTGCTGGCGGTTTCAAGGGAGCTTCATCTGCGGGTAGCACATGACGACGACTTGTGGATCAGGGCTTTCGAGACGCCAGGCTGCAGATTCTACAGTACTGTAGTTGTCCCTAGATGAAAAAGGGCTGCCACGAAGTTCCTGATTGCACGCTGCCTTCAGCTAACTATCTTCGGATCCAAGTGGGAATGCAGGAACTGGGTCAGGACTGCGCCATGTTCAAGAACATGTTGACCATTGCATTCATCTTGAAGCTAAGGAGCGTGTTCGGTGAGGTGCTTCGCTGTATCGGCTCATGCCCTCGAATTTCCGATGGACACAGAACTCGAGACGTGTGAGGTGCACCAGCCGAACGCCTTGGGCGCAGAAGCGGAAGCCTGCTCACGAAGTGGATACGCATCAGGTGGGTGCGCACTGTAGACGTCTTGCTCTGGGTGCGGCCGTTCTGCTGTGGCTGAGTCGTCTGCGGGCCTTGTACTGCCTGCAGGATATTTGCAGATTGGGTTGGTCACACACATGTGCCCGTGTGTGCCGTGGAGCTCGTGTTCTGAGTCTATTTCTTGCTTGAATATTATATACTCGAGCGTTTCCGTGCCTCGATAGAATGCATCTGCGGCTAGGAGTCCTCGGCGAGAATTATGTAGTGCTGATAGTCTTATTATATAGTCTCACATCATCGTATAAAACATTATCGTAGGTCTCAGTACATGATGGTCTTGGAAAGTATGTTGAAGGATGCCTGGCCCAGAATGCGCAAAGGTTCAGGACCCGGACCTCGCAGCTGAACTGCCCATGTGCTTGCGGACGAGTGTATGCGAGTTTCCGAAAATCAGGGGTACTTCATTTGGGGTCCTTAGAATAAGGATCCTACTATTCAGGGTACTATATTAGGGTCCCCTATTGTCGGAAAGTCCCATATCTACAGTACCTACCTACACACCGCTAGAGCCTCTTTTTGCAGGGGACATGAAGGCAAAGTCGACTCAGCTCAAGCCTTTCGACAAGTTCAAGCACAGATGGCGCCAGGACAGTGTGAAGCACGACAGTACAGTAGTCAGAGGCCTCACAAGGTGGGATGAAGGTAGGTGGGATTAAGGATCCCTTATATAAGGACTCTTATTTGGGAATATCCCACCTACCTTCATCCTACCTTTTGAGGCCCCCGAAGTAGAGGCTTGCAAACCTTGGAAAGTGAGTGCGGCACTGCCTCCGTGGACAGGAGTTGGCCAGAATTTGTCCGAATTGCCAGCGGCTTTGTATCACAGCTTGCGGGACATTCAAGTTTAGGACTGGGCCATCTGGGGGTTTCCGAAAATGTGGGACCCTAATATAGCACCCTAAATAGTAGCAGCCTCATTATCAGGACCCCAAATTAAGGTACCCCTAACTTTCGGAAACTCCCACAGGGGGCCATGGCGTGAAAGCCAGCCTGAGCAACGCATGCGAAGCCCCAGGCGGCTCAGCAAAAGCAATTGTGCCCATCGTCTACGGCTTCCCGAGCGAGCCGCTCACAGCCCATTATCGCCGAGGAAACTTTGCAATGCTTTGCTTAAGGTAGTCTCACGAATGATGGGAATCTTGACAGATAGTTGTACAATCCGGTGTTGACAGCAGTGGTAGCCACTTCGGATGATGCTCTTCAGTGCCGTCCGAAGCACCCCGTGCTTGCTGCAGGATCCCTGGTTCTCACGGAGGCTAGGGCTAGCTTAGAATTCTGAAAGAACTCCTTCGGAAAGTCACAGAAGCATCTCTCGGAAAGGTCTGTGGCTTCTTGGGTCCTTGCTGGGCATGCCGGCGATGTCACTACGAGTTTGAGCGTTATCCGTACTCAAGCTTCATGCCAGCCGCAGAGAAGGCTCCTGGTCTGCAAGTGCTGCCAAAATGGGAAGACCGAGACGCTGTTGCCTAAAGCAAACTGAACTGAGGCTCGCAAGTACCCGTTCTTGCGGGTGCCCGGCTGGTGTGGCTTTGTAGCGGAGAAGACAAAAAGACAGGACAGTCGCACACGGCCAGGTATGTTTGGCGGCTGACGAAGCTATCGACGAGAACGATGGGGCGGAGAACGAAGACTAATTCCAAGGATA